CTCAGTGGTAGAGCGCTTGCCTTGCATGCCTGAGGCCCTGGGTTGGATTTCTCAACACCACATAAACAGAAAAGGTTAGAAGTGGTGCAGTGGCTCAAGTGGTAGAGCGCTAGCCTTGAGCTGAAGAGCTGAGGGACAGTGCCCAGGCCTAGAGTCCAAGCCCCACAACCGACAAAATAAAAGAAAAAGGAAAAAAAATAAAAGCAGGAAGATCCAGAATTCCTGGCCAGCCTAGATTACTTAGGGAGATGTTACTATCTCAAAGCAAAAAAGGCCAAACATGGTGGCATATTCCTGTAATTGCTTCTGCTTAGGAGGAGATAGGAAAGTCGTGGTTTGAGATCAGCCCTGAAAAAAGAGACCAGGAGCTCAGTAATCCTAGCTACTCAGGAGGCTGAGATGTGAGGGTGGAGGTTCCAAGCCAAGTGGGGCAGATAAATCAATGGAACTCTTAATCACCAATTAAAGTCAATGGAACACTTACTCACCAATTAACCACCAAAATGTTACAAGGGGAGGCGTGGCTTAAGGGGTTGAGCACCAGCCTTTAGTGGAAAAAGCTGAGGGTAGGCATCCAGGTCCGGAGTTGAAGCCCTTGTACACATACAAACACCCCAAAGCAAAAACATAATAACCACTAGATCTTATACCCCTATTAGACCTTATCTAAAAAACTAAAAAACAAGAGGCCTGGGGTGGGGCCGGCATGGTCACAAGCCTGGGAGCTGGGGGCGGGGAATTGGGTGTGTGTGTAGGGAAAGGGGGGGAATTGAGGCTTTCTTTCCGCATTTCCCCTCTGACTAAGGAACTTGAGCCGTTTTCCAGACAGGCTGGCTCACTTCATTCCTTTTTGGTTAAGTGTCTTGTCAACTCCTTTGTCCACCGAATAGCCATAGGGATTTCAGGGCCTTGTAGCAAAGGAAGGAAGCTCTTTTGTGTCTGGTAGGTGTGGGTTCCTTGTTAGGCTCTGGGGGAGCCATCTAGCAGTCATCTAGGGGGCACTGTGGGGGTGATGGAAGGAGGGAGGGGTCCTCGTGAGATGTAAAGAGGAGGAGGAGTGGAGGATCTCGGGAGGAAGAAGGTGGGAATTTGGGAAGGAGGCAGGGCTGGTTCAGGGGAAGGGCTGTGAGCCTTGGGCCTGGACATTGAAGGGGACACTTACGGGCTCTCTACCATCCATTGTGGTTATGGGGGGCCCTAGGCTGGCTCAAAGGCCCCACAAAGCTCTGGCTGTGCCCAGCATACTGCAGAGGAGTTGGGGGTTCCCTAACTTGAATTTGTGGCTTGGGCAAGGCACTTGAGTTTGGGAGTATGGAGGTTTGTGTGTGTGTGTTTGACCTGGGCCTTGATTTGAGCTCAGAGTGTGTGTGTGTTTGACCTGGGCCTTGATTTGAGCTCAGAGCCTGGGTGCTGTCCCTGAACTTCTTTGTGCTCAAGGCTAGCATTCTATCACTTGAGCCCTATTGCCACTGGCTTTTAAGTGATTGAGGGGAGATGCAGAGTCTCAGACTTGGCTGCTCAAGCGGGCTTGGAACATGATCCTCCTATCTCGGCCTCCTGTGTAGGTAGGCCAGATTTACAAGGTGTCCAGCTGAGCCTGGGGGAACTTCTGGGGTACAGCTGAAGGGTTAGAGATGAAGTAGAAGATGGTTGAGTCAGACCCAAATGCGGGGGGCGGGGAGGGCCTTGGTGCTGGACCTCGCTTCCAGGGCCATGACAAGCCTTACCTGGGGTACTAGAGACCAGCTAGTAGCTGATTGAGCTACAGCCACGGATCACCTGGCCTGCTTGGGGCTCAGGACACGTGGCCAGCCTTCTGTCAGCTCTCAATCCCTAATTTGGGGAGCCTGGACTTCAGTCAGCTGGGGATCTAGCTGGAAGCAGTAATGGGGGGGGGAGGAGGGGGGGGATTGCAGGTCAGGTGGAGCAGTGAATGCCTACAAAGGGTGCTGGTGGTAATCGCGCAGGTTCTAGTCATGTCTGTGAAGGGTGGGTCCTAGCTATGGTGGGGAGGGGTAGCTGGCTGAGACAATTATGCCAGAAGACAAACATGGCTGCACTTACACTGCCCTCGCCTCCCTTCCTTTCTCTTCTAGCTTCTCTCCTCCCCACCTCGTGTGTGTGTGTGTGTGTGTGTGTGTGTGTGTGTGTGTGTGTGTGTGTGTGTGTGTGTGTGTGTGTGTGTGTGTGTGTGTGTACACGCATGCCCCAGCTGGTCCTGGAGCTTGAACTCAGGATCTGCACACTGTCGTTGAGCTTTGTTCAAAGCTGGCGCTCTACCACTGCAGCCACAGCTCCACTTCTGTGTTTTTTTTTTTTTGGTCGGTCATGGGGCTTGAACTCTGGGCATGGACACTGTCCTTCAGCTTTTCGGCTCAAGGCGAGCGCTCTACCACTTGAGCCACAGCGCCACTTCTGATTTTCTGGTGGTTTATTGGAGATACGAGTCTCAAGGGCTTTCCTGCCCAGGCTGGCTTTGAACCATGATCCTCAGATCTCAGCCTCCTGAGCAGCTAGGATTACAAGCGTGAGCCACCAGCACCTGGCGTCACTTGTGGCTTTTTGGTTGTTGGTGAATTGGAAGATTATTCACAGGCTTGGCTTGTCCATCCTGCCTTCAAAGCACAATTCTCACATCTCAGCTGCATGAGTAGCTAAGACTACCGGTGTGAGCCATTAACTTGGGACTGTCACTTCTGCTTTTTCTTTTTTAAATGATTTGAACTCAGGACTTCCCATTCTGTAGAAAAGTGTTGTACCACTTGAACCATGATGTCCCAGGCCCTTGTTTTCTTATTGACTCTCTTCCTTTGCCTTTCTCTGGGTCTGCCAGTGTTTGAATGTTTGTCTCTATTGCATTGCTTTCTTTCCCCCTCCCCCTCCGCCCTCCTCCCCCCTTTCTTCCCCCTTCCCCTCCTTTCTCTCCTTCCCCTTCCCCTCTTCTCCCACACCTATGGTCTTAGGATGCTGGGGTTAGAACTCTGGGCCTCTGGTCTGCAGGGCAAGTTCTCTACCACTGAGATATGCCCCTACCATGGAGTTTTATTCTTACCTTTGGAATTTCTACTGGTCAGATGAATGAACTAAGGCAGGCAACACAGGGACTGAAGACAGACCTACTTTTGCAACCTGATCCACTTGGGCCTCAGTTTCCCTATGTAGAAGAGAAATGACACTATGGTGGAGGCAGAGAACAGCTTTTTTTTTTTTTTTGCCAGTCGTGGGGCCTGAACTCTGGGCCTGGGCACTGTCCCTCCGCTCTGCAGCTCAAGGCTAGCGCTCTACCACTTGAGCCACAGCACCACTTCCAGCTTTTTCTGCTTACGTGGTGCTGGGGAATGGAACCCAGGGCCTCATGCATGCAAGGCAAGCACTCTACCACTGAGCCACCTTCCCAGCTAGAGAGAACAGCTTTATTAACTCACCAGTATCAGGCCCTTTCCATGCTCAGATAGTAATTGAACTGGTAACTAACTACATCTGGCTTTTAGTTAATAAAGTTTTATTGAAAGTCATAGCTTGAGATGGTTGTCTGGTCTTCTGCAGCAAGTCTGTCTTCCTCCGTACCAGGATAAAAAGAGTGGATGAAAGAGTCTTGGAGCTAAGTGCTGGTGGCTCAGGCTTATAATCCTAGCTACTCAGTATGCTGAGATATGACCCAGCTTGGTTGGAAGTCAGCCTAGGCAGGAAAGTCCTTGACACACTTATTTCTGATAAATCAGCCCAAAACAAAACAAAAAACTGGAAGGAGAGGTGTGGTTCAAGAGGTAAAACAGCTAAGGGCTCTGTATGAGGCCCTGAGTTCAAGCCCCTGTACTGGCTCACATACCAAAAAGGACCTTGGACATTAGTGAATGCTATAGAGCCACAAGGTAAGCAGAATGGTGTGGGTAGGGTAGAGGGGATTTTTTTCTTCCGACTGGGCTGAGGAATGTATGTTTAAAAGAATTGGATAGGGGCTGGGAAGGTGGCTCAGTGGTAGAGCACTTGCCTTGCATGCTCGAGGCCCTGGGTTCGATTCCTCAGCACCACATAAGAAAAAAGCCGGAAGTGGCGCTGTGGCTCAAGTGGTAGAGTGCTAGCCTTGAGCCGAAGAGTGGAGGGACAGTGCCCAGGCCCAGAGTTCAGGCCCCACGACCAGACTACTCCCCCCATCCCCCCCAAAAAAAGAATTGGATAGTATGGTTTTGTTATGATGGTCTAGGGTCTGGAATCGAGGGCCTGGGCAATGTCCCTTTTTTTTGCTCAATTATTAGCTCTTCATCACTTGAACCATGCCCTACTTGCAGCTTTCTGGTGGCTAACTGGAGATGAGAATCTCGGATCCCCACCACCACACAATTTGAACAACAATCCTGCTATCTCAGCCTCCTGAGTAGCTAGGATTACAGACAGGACCTACAGCGCTCAATCCGAATATGCAGTTTTGTATTGGAAGTGATGCATATCTCCCGTTCTAACGTGAAACTCGACCCACTGACCGTGAGCGTGGTCCCCGGCTTCCCCTGCAGGGCGAGATCCATCTCTTTTCTGGTGGAGGTTCTATTTAACAGGCTAGATTTTTACACAGTGCCAAGGACCTGCTCAAGGTCAGATGCTGAACACAGAGGCTGAAGGTGGATTGGAACTGAGGGCTTTGGAGGCTACCTCCTCCCCTCCCCAGCGGCTGGGGCTTCCAGTATTAGGTTTAGAAGGAGCAAAGGAATGAATGAATGTCTCAGGCGGCCCAGGCGTGTGTCTCCCCGCCCCCCTCCCCTTCCCATAGACAACAGTGTTGGCACAGCTTGGGCGAAACCAAGGCGCTGCGCTGGGAAGGGGGAGTCGCGCCCATTCGGCGCATGCGCACGACTCCGCTCCCAGTCAGTCCCTATGTAGTACAGCGCGCGGCTCCGGCGTGGTACGTCCGGCCGTCCCCCCCGCGCTCGGGGCCCGGGTGGTACAGGCGGCCTCCGCTCGCCGCCCCTCCCAGTTGGTTTCCGCGCGAAAAAAGCTCAGGCCTCCAGCGCTGTTGCCGCCGCCGCCGCCGCCGCTGCTGTCGCGTCCCTGCAGCTTCGGAGAAGATGCCGGCCCGAACCGCCCCGGCCCGAGTGCCCGCCTTGGCCACCCCGGCCATCTCACTCCCCGAAGATGTCCGTAGGCGGTAGGTGATCGGCAGGGGAGAAAGAAAAGGGGGGTCGAGGGGACGCGGAGACGGGAAGAGGCCGAGGCCGGGCCGGGGTGCGGTGTAAGGGGGGGTCTTCTCCCCCCCCTTCCCCGCGGCCGGCGGCCTCCGCTGACAGGCGGGCACGCATGCGCAGAGTGGCGCTGCGAGGCGCGCAGCGGTTGGCGGCGCGCTGGATGGAGCTTCCGGTCCCGCCGTTTTTCCCTCCCTGGCCATTTGGCGCCAAAAAAGCAAAACAACAAAAAGAACATAAACACGGGCACCTGGTTGCCGTGGGACTGGGGGTGTGGGAGAGGGGATTTGCTTGCCGTGCGGGCTCGCCTGCCCCGACGCGCAGGAAGTGGGCAGCTCTGCAGTCCCCTGGAGCCCCCATCCTCGGGGCTTCCACTTCCGGTGCCTGGCCTGGCTCCCCCCCACACCCCGGGGCAGCGTGTGTGGGAGGGGTGGGGTTCCTTGTACCCCCATGGCACAGCGATCTTTGCACCCCTTCCAGGGGAGCAGGGTTGTGCCTGGAGCAGGCACGGTGCATGCACGGTGCATGGTGCTTGCAGGCCCAGTGGCCCTTCTAGTCAATGGGGGCCCACGTTCCTTGGGATCCCAAGGAAGCCAAACCTGTGAGAACCAGCAGCTGTTGTTCAGTATGTTCTCAGTGGGCAGATCGAGGGGGAGAGGGTGCCCTCCACCATCATGGCTTCCTCTCCCGCCCCCCCGCGCCCCCCCACTTCGAATTCTTAGCAAGTGTGGTTTCTGTGGGGGGTTTTCTGGGCCGAAGAGTTGGCGGGAAGATGGATCTGGCCTGTCCTTACAAATCAGTCCTAGAGACTTGTTTTGCCAGAGCCTGGTGCATTAGTCAGAGTCCTGCCTGGGTCTGGATAGCCCTGCACCGTACTTACCGCACCTATTTTCTACCCTTTTCCTAAGTTTGATGGTGGCTGTCTTTGTGCCAGGCTAGCTCTGGTTTGGGCCTTGGGGAATGAAGTGGGGGTGGGGATGGTATTTTGGTTTAAACTTTTTTTCTTAACATACTGTGGTTCTGACCGAGAGCCTGGTCCACGCCAGGCAAGCATTATAGCACCAAGCTACACAGGAGATTTTTTTTTTTTTTGTCCTGAGCCTTTCTTAAAGCTAGTGCTCTGCTCTACCGCTTGAGCCACAGCACCACTTCTGGTTTTTTTGGTGGTGAGCTGGAGATAAGAGTCTCATGGATTTTCCTGCCCAGACTGGCTTTGAACTGTGATCCTCATATCTCAGCTTCCTGAATAGCTAGAATTACAGAAATGAGCCACCAGTGCCTGGCCAGATCTTTTTATTTCCTCTTAATCTTGAAATGGAGTCTTTTGAAGGTGTCCACTCTGACACTGAGTTACACCCCCCGGCCCATTAGGCTTTTTTTTTCTTTCTCCATTCTTGGGCTTGAACTCAGGGGCTAGGCACTGTCCCTGAGCTTTTGCTCAAGGCTAGCACTCTACCACTTGAGCCACAACGCCACTTCCGGCTTTTTCTGTTGATGTGGTACTAAGGAATTGAACCCAGGGCTTCATGCATGCTGGGCAAGCACTCTACCACTAAGCCACATTTGCAGTCCTCACAGGGACTTTTCTCCTTGGGCTGGCTTCAAACGGCAATCCTCTGATCCTCAGTCTCCTGAGTGGCTAGAATTACAGGTGTGCGCCACTAGTACCGGGCTTATTACTACCCTGCTTATTACTGTCTTTTCTATACAGCTGATTTAACCTTTGCGATTATTACAGCTTTCTTGTCATTCTGTGAGATTTAAGCTGGGTCTCAAAAGCCTTGCACTCTACCTCTCCTGCCACTAGAGTGGGTGTGGAATAGGGCAAAGCTGACTTGACTTTCTCTACCTTTACCCTCCGAGGTAGCGGTTAGAGGACCACAGTCACTGCAGATGAAATCCTGAGCTGCCTGTAACCGGTTCTGTTGTGCCTGTTGCCTCTAGATGCCCATCAATGGCCTGGACCACCTGGTTGCACCGCCGGGATAGTGACCCCATCCAGTGTCCCCGTTAGTGCCCGACTGTCCCCATCTGCCCTGAACAGAAGTCATCACCTGCAACCTCATGGTCAGCGGTGTATTTTTTTTTTTTGTTGGTCCTGGGGCTTGAACTCTGGGCCTGGACGCTGTCCCTCAGCTCTTCAGCTCAAGGCCAGCGCTCTACCACTTGAGCTACAGTGCCACTGTTTTCTGAGTGGTTTATTGGAGATAAGAGTCTTATGGACTTTCCCAAGCCCAGTCTGGCTTTGAACCTCGATCCTCAGATCTCAGCCTCCTGAGTAGCTAGGATGGCAGGTGTGAGCCACCGAGGCCTGCCATTTTCTGTTCTGTTCTTTTTTTGCCAGTCATGGAGCTTGAACTCAGGGCCTGGGTACTGTCCCTGAGCTCTTTGTGTTCCAGGTTAATGACCTACCACTTTGAGCCACAGCGCCACTTCTGGTTTTCCAGTGGTGCCGAGGCTGAATTCACATCTCAGCCAACTGAGTGGCTAGGATTACAGTCATGAGCCACCAGCACCTGGCTCATTTCCTTAGCTTTTGTGTCCAGGTATGTTAGTCCTTTTTCTTTTGTGTGTGATAATCCTAGGGCTTAAAACTCAGGGTCTGGGCCCTGTCCCTAAGCGTTTGTGCTCAAGGCTTGTGCTCTACCACTTGAACCATAGCCCTACTACTGACTTTTCTTTTGGTGCTTCATTGGAGATGATTCTCCCAGGCTTTCCTGCCCAGGCTGGTTTTGAACCATGATCCTCAGATCTAGGCCTGCTCGGTAGCTAGGATTATAGGCGTGAGCCGTTGGCACCCGGCTTCTTCCTTTTTTTTTTTTTGCTAGGGCTAGCACTCTACCACTCGAGCCACAGTTCTACTTCTTTTTCTGTGTATGTGGTACTGAGGAATCAAACCTAGGGCTTCATGCATGCTAGGCAAGTATTCTACCACTGAGCCACCTTCACAGCCCTTTTACTCATTATTTATTTCTTCTGTCTGTAGTGGGGCTTGAATTCGGGTCCTGGGCGCTGTCCCTGTGCTCTTCAGCTCAAGGAGAGCACTCTACCACTTGAGCCACAGTGCCACTTCTGGTTTTCTGGTGGTTCATTAGAGATTAGTCTCAAGACCATTCCTGCCCAGGTTGACAGGCTGGCTTTGAACTGGAATCCTTCGATCTCAGCCGCCTCAGTAGCTAGGATAAGTGTGAGCCACCAGGGCCCGGCATTTAAAAATTTTTTTTTTAGTATAATTCTACTGTTACGGTGTTGAGCAGAGGTGTACATTACTGTTTGATTTTTCTCTTTGAGAAGGGTCTCACTCTGTTGCTCAGGCTGGCTCTAAATTGGTCCTCCTGCCTCAGCCTCCCTAATACTGGATTGTAGATCAACATTGCCATACCTGTCTGTGTGTGTTGGTGGGGGGGGCATTGAGGATGATGAGATACTACTCAAATACTCTACCAGGGAGCCATACCCTCTACTCGGAAATAATCATGTGTATTTGTTACCTTACAGTTGTGTCAGGAATCCTCCGTGGGTCTCAGCAGCTGAATAGAAGTGTCTGCAGGTTTCATTCCTTTGCAGAGACCCTAGAAAGAATGTCTCTTCCAAGGCATGATTGGCTCACACCTTTAATCCTGGCTAATCAGGAGGCTGAGGATCATGGTTCAAAGCCAGCCCTGGCAGGAAAGTCCTGAGACACTATCTCCAATGAAGTAACAAAAAAGCTGAAGTGGAGCCAGCCTTGAGCAAAAGCTCAGGGCTAGCCTGGACCGGCAAAAAACAGGGTGTTTTTTGTTCTCTCCGGGTGTGAGCAGGATTCTGGCAATGACTGGAAGCTCTGGTCTCATCTCTTGTTGATTAAAGCTGAGAACTGGTCCTGGCTTTGGGAAGGTTTTTTTCTCCCCTTCCTCCACCTTTCAACTACACACTGCTCCATCTTTTTTATTTTTTTGGGTCCAGTTGTGGGGCCTGAACTCTGGGCCTGGGCGCTGTCCCTCAGCTCTTCAGCTCAAGGCTAGCGCTCTACCACTTGAGCCACAGCGCCACTTCCGGCTTTTTTCTTTTTGTTTATGTAGTGCTGAGGAATTGAACCCAGGGCTTCATGCATGCAAGGCAAGCGCTCTACCACTGAGCCACCTTCTCAGCCCACACTGCTCCATCTTTACTACACACTTGTATTTCTTTTGAAATGCCTCTAGAATGTTTTTTGCTGGTCCTGGGGCTTTAACTCAGGGACTAGGCACTGTCCCCGAGCCTCTTTGTGTTCAAGGCTAGCGCTTTACCACTTGATCCACAGCACTACTTGCTTTTGGAGTAGTTTATTGAAGTAAGCATCAGATTTTCCTGCTTGGGTTGGCTTTGAACCGAGATCCTCAGATCTCAGCCTCCTGAGTAGCTAGGATGACAGGCGTGAGCCACTGGCACCTGGACCTTTTTTTTTTTTTTTTTGGTAAGCACTGGAATTTCAACCAGGGCCTTCAGCTTTCTAGGTAGGTCCTCTACCGTTTGCATCAAGCCCCAAGTCTGGCAGCCAGACTTAAGCAGGGGTTGAGAATGGACGTGTACAGCTCAATGTTAGAACCTGCACTTAGCTTGCCAGAGACGCTGGTTTCCATCCCGTTCTCAGACTACATTTCAAAGCTGTACTGCTGGCTTTAAGGGTGTTAAGAGTTGACTTGCCATTTTGTAATCTGTTCCTATCTAATACTATATGCTTTGGCCAGATTAATTTCCCTAAAGCAGGATGCTGTTGTTGGCTTGTTGGCTGTGGAACAAACCCCAGACTATCAAGCCTATGCTTCAGCCTGTCGCCCTCTCCCTGTCTCTGGCCTTGCTGTCCCGCCTTCGGTGCTTGCATCTGCTTCTTGGGCCAGCTTCTGCACTGGGGTATGCCTACGTGGTTGTCTCTGCCCTGTGCCTTTTGTCACATTGCCCTTTGTTTTGGGCAGCCTTTAACTGTAAATTACCAATTTTTGTGTGTATATATGTCTGCGCATGTGCACACAGACATATATACACAACTTTTTGTTTGCTGGTCCTGGGCTTGAACTCAGGGCCTGCCCCTTAGCCTTTTGGCTCAAGACTGGTGCTCTACCACTTGAGCCACAACCTTCACTTTCAGCGTTTTGCTGGCTCATTTGGAGATTAGAGTCTTGTTGGAGACTTTGCTGCCTGACCTCATTTCAAACCTCCCATCCTCAGATCTCAGCTTCCTGAGTAGCTAGGATGATAGGTGTGCTCCACCAGTGCCCGCCTAGGTATATTCATTTTTGGGCCAGCCCTGGGGCTTGGTTGGGGCTTGGGCACTGTCCCAAGCTCAAGGCTAGCACTCTACCACTTGAGCCACAGCACCACTTCCAGCTCTTTCTGTGTATGTGGTGGTGAGGAATTGAACCCAGGGCTTCACAAACACTATCACTAAGCCTCATTCCCAGCCCCCTTCACGCCCCCCCCCCCCCATTTATACCTATTTATCTCACCTCTTAAATGACTAATAATGTCTGAGGAAGTATTGAGTCATGAGGTCTCAGGCCCTGTGGAGAGAGCTGAGGTTGTTTTCATGTTGTCCCGTATTTGATCCTTCTCTTTGTTCCGCCGCTAATACTCCTGGGCATGAGGTGGAGGACGGAAATCTCACTGGGAGAGGAGTGGACTTGACCTTTGTGGGGGGGAACTTGGTGATCCCCAAGCACTGTTTAGGCACTTAAGGGAGAAGCTGTGGCCGGCCGGCCTACCCCACCTTGGTGGGCGTGGCCTGGAGGCAAGGGGGCGTGGCTTCGCCTCGGAGCCCTGCCCTGAGAGGCAGGGCTGTGCTGAGGCTCAGCACTGCGCGTGCGCACACCCCGCCAGCCGCTCTGCTCTGCGTGGGATTTCAGTCTGACATGCCCCTGGCTGGAGGGGTGGCGTGGTGCAGCTGTTCTTCCAGGCTCGCCGCAGGGCTGCGATGACTTTTTGCCAGCCACGTGCTCCAGGTCCTTCTTGCAGTTGTTTTTTTAACATTTTTTCCCCCCTTCCTCCTGGGTGTTGGGGATGGAGCCCAGGATCTGAGCCTGGGACATGAGGTCAGCTCTCTACCCCTGGGGGGCGCGGCCCCCAGCACTCCTACTCTTGGAAGTCGCTGTGGGGCTTCCGGACTCCAGGATACGCAGTCTAGGTAATCACGTGGTTTATAGTTGACTATTTCTCCAGCCACCCAGCAAGTTAGAAGGTCCCTTCCTGGTGGCACCACATCCGGCCTCCCAGCCTGCCGTCTGAAACGACCGGGCACACGGTAGACGGGCACAAATGTGAGTAGGAAGTAGGAAGCTGGGTCCGCGCTGTGACGCTGGCCTGGCACGGACCCTGGGCTTCCTCAGGTGCCAGGCTGACCTGGCCGATGGTGCTTAATCGTCTACAAAGGCCAGCCAGAGCTCGCTGCCCTTCAGCAAAAGATCACTGAGCTCCTGGTCTGTGTGGCTGCTGGGCCCTAGATCCAGAGATGTCACTAGCCTGGTCCCTGCCCAGGGCACCTTCATTCCAAACACCAGACACCAATCCAGCTGGTTAGACTTGTTTGCTGCACTGTCTGCAGGCAGCTTCTGCCATTTCCTATGTCTCTTCCTCATTGTCTGCCCCTTCTCTATTTTTCCCTTACAAATCAAATCTAACTAAAAACACTGCATTGATTCCCTCCCCACCAGGACTTGAACTCAGGGCCTAGGTATTGTCCTTGAGCGTTTTCACTCAAGGCTAGCACCCTACCACTTTGATACACAGCTCCCCTTCTGGCTTTTGGTGGTTCATTGGAGATCAGAGTCTCATGGACTTCTCCTTCCTTAGCTGGCTTTGAACTGTGATCCTCAGATCTCCGCCTCCTGAGTAGCTGGGATTACAGGTGTGAGCCACCAGTGCCTGGCTTATTTTTTTGGGTGGTTCTGAGTCAAGCTTCCTAGGCAGATTCTCAACCCCTTGAACCCATACCTTCAGATGCTTTGGAGATAGAATCTCTTTTTTTTTTTTTTTTTGTCATGGGGCTTGAATCTGGGCCCGGGCATGGTCCCTCAGCTCTTCAGCTCAAGGCTAGCGCTCAACCACTTGAGCCACAGTACCACTTCTGGTTTTCTAGTGGTTCACTGGAGATAAGAATCTCATGGACTTTCCTGCCCGGGCTGGCTTTGAACTGCAATCCTTAGATCTCAGCCTCTTGAGTAGCTAGGATTACAGGCGTGAGTCACAGGTACCTGGCTAAGATGGAATAGCTTTTAGAATTTTTTTTTTCCCTGATCAGGCAGGCTTTTAATCTCAGTCCTCCAGGTCTGGGCCTGAGTAACTAGGATTACAAGTGTGAGCCACCCACAGGAAACAGCTTTGATTAGGTACAAACCAAAAGATGAGCCTTTACTGAGAAGCTAGCTATTCAATCCATCCCCAGCAGGGATAGGGGTTTGTGGCCTGTGATTGCAAGCAAGTCACTACCACTGGGCTATATTCCTGCCCTCAGATCTAGCAAACCACCTTTTTTCTTTTTGTTGTTGGTTAGGGGGCTTGAACTCAAGTCCTGGGCGCTGTTCCTGAGCTCTTTGGCTCAAGGCTAGCGCTCTACCACTTTGAGCCACAGCACTACTTGCAGATTTCTGGTGGAGGTAAGAGTCATGGACTTTCCTGCCTGGGCTGGCTTTGAACTGCGATCCTCGGACCTCAGCCTCCTGAGTAGCTAGGATGACAGGCGCAAGCCACCTTTTGTAACTTCATCTCCTGCTCCCCTGTGCGTCGGCATACCCAACTGCTGGCCCTAGAGGCCTGACTTGCCCATCTCAATACTTGTGGTTCTGCCGCGGTCAGCTGTCAGTTCCTTCCATCCCCTCAGGGTGGCGCTAGTGCACTCGTAACACTAGCCACAGCCTTTTGCATGCTTATCAGACCTAACAGGAAAAAGCCGCAGTAGGTCGGATTGATATCCACTGGTAGAAGGACCCCAACAGTGGGATGTACCCCTCTTCCAAAACCAGGAAAGTCTTGAAAGTTGTAGTATTGATTCTCAAAGATAAATGAAGTTGGTAACCAGTGTTTTTCCATTTCCTTTCCCCCAGGCTCAAAGACTTGGAAAGAGACAGCTTAACAGAAAAGGTAAGCTATTTTTTAAAAAAAATTACTTACTTATTTTTTGTCAGTCGTGGGGTCTGAACTCTGGGCCCTCAGCTCTTCCGCTCAAGGCGAGCGCTCTACCACTTGAGCCACAGCACCACTTCTGGCTTTTTCTGTGTATGTGGTACTGAGGAATCGAACCCAGGGCCTTATGCATGCAAGGCAAGCACTCTACCACGGAGCCACCTTCCCAGCCCCATACATTTTCTTTTTTTCTTTTGCCAACACTGGGGCTGGAACTCCGGGTCTCGTGTTCTTGCTGTTTTTTAGCTCATTGCTGGCACCCACTCTAGGCTACAGCTCTCCTTCTAGCTTCTTGCTAGTTAAGTGAATTCTCATGGACTTTGTTGATCAAACTGGCTCCAAACCTTGATCCTCAGATCTCAGCCTCCTAAGTGTCTGGGATTACAGGCATGAGCCCACAGCACTGGGCTCATTGTCAACATATGTGAAAATAGGAACATTCTATTTTGGCCATACTTGCCCTTTTTCCTGTATACTTTAAAAAACTCATCTCTAGGTGATTGCTTAAACACACCGTATAATGGAAATTTCATGTCCCTTTCTGCTGTGGTTTTAGGGAATAAGGACAAGAAAAAGACTTAGGGCAGTGGTGCCGTGGCTCTAAGTGGTAGAGCACTAGTCTTGAGCAAAAAACGTTAAGCAGCACCCAGACACTTAGGCTAGGAGTCGATGGCTCACGTCTGTAATTCTAGCTAACTTGGGAGGCTGAAGTCTAAGGATCACAGGTGGAAGCCAGCCTAGGCAGGAAAGTTCTTGAGACTCTAATCGCCAATTAATCACAGAAAAGCTGGAAGTGGCACTGTAGCTCAAGTGACGTGCTAGCCTTGAGCAAAAGGAGCTCAGGAACAGCACCCTGGCCCCGAGTTCAAGCTCCAGGACCAGAAAACTTGGAATACAAACACAATTTTTAGACTATTTTGCATATGAGTTGGTTGTTCTTCCAGGGGCTGAGTGTGTGTATGTGTGCACGTGTGTGTGCATGTGCCTGTACCGGGGCTTGAACTTGGGGCCTGACCCCTTTTCCTTGGCTATTTTGCTCAAAGCTGGAGTTGTACCACTTGAACCACAGATTCAAGTGTGGCTTTTTGTTGATAATTGGAAATAAGCTTTACGGACTTTCCTACTGGGGCTGGCTTTGAACTGCCATGTTCAGATCTAATCTTGAGTAGCTAGGATTACAGGTGTGAGCCACCGTTGCTGGGCCTGCATTGGATTTTGTGGCTGACACGATGTTAACTCCTGTTAGGTCACTGGCCTTGAAGGCAGCTTAGTTTCTTGCGTATGCATCTTGTTCAAGGATTTGTTAGCAGTTGAGGACTGCTCACACCTGTGTCCTTCCCTTAGGAGTGCGTGAAGGAGAAATTGAGTCTCTTGCACGAATTTCTGCAAACCGAAATAAAGAATCAGCTGTGTGATTTGGAAACCAAATTGCATAAGGAAGAATTATCTGAGGTAAGAGTGTGTTCTGGGCCCTGGCTTCCACCAAGAGCTCTCCCTGGCCAGGTACTGGGTAGCTCACACCTCTAAGCTACTCAGGAGGCTGAGATCTGAGGATCAAGGTTCGAAGCCAGCCTGGGCAGGAAAGTCTGTGAGACTCCTATCTCTATTAACCACCAGAAAACCGGAAGTGGGGCCATGGCTGAAAGCGGTAGAGTGCTAGCCTTGAACAAAAGCTCAGGGACAGCGCCCAGGCCCTGAGATGACACCCTATGACTGACCCAAAACCAAGACAGGCAGAAAGCGCCGCGCTCGCCCCGCTACCGGCGAATTCTAAGGGAGCGAGGTGTCTCCTCGTGACGTCGCTTGTTTGCATTCACTGCTAAATTATCCTTTCCCGCCGTAGGAGGGCTACCTGGCTAAAGTCAAATCCCTTTTAAATAAAGATTTGTCCTTGGAGAACGGAGCTCACACATTCAGTCGACAAACGAATGGCTATCTAGAAAATCGGAATCGAGAAGGCCGGAGAAGGGGAATGACTGAGCCAAATACGCCCCCAACTCCCACTTCTAAAGCTCGGACACCCCGTAGAAGCAAGACCGATTTGGAGACGAAGCGTAAGGACTTGACCTGTTCTTGCCCTCGCAGGCTACGGCTCAGAGCGGACAGTCAGCCTGGGATGAATGACTCTGGGTGGTAGAGGATAAGGATGGGCGTAGGGAAGACCCAGGGTTAGTGAATTTCAGCTCAGGAATTGGTAAACTGATTGCTAGAAGTGGGGGTGGGGTAGGGATGGAAGGGTATGCCGGGCTTGGTGGCACATGCCTGTAATCCCAGCACTTGGGAAGCTAAGGCAGGAGGATCACAAATTTAAAGCCAGCCTGGGCCACACTGTGACCCTTAATCTTAAAAACACAAAACCTAACTCTTCAGACCGCTTATTGGCCAGGTTCCTGGTTTTCTGCAGTAGCTTGGTCTTGAAGTAGCCCATGCCTGTGCACTTGTCTGTTCCTAACGGTGTCTTCTTCCTTGCGTTCTTTTACATAGCGGAAACCCCATCCAGCTCCGTGGTTACAAGGAGGACTACCAGGCAGACCTCGATCACATCTCATTTCTCAAAGGCGTCAGTATTGATTGAATGGGGCATTGATTGCTTAGGCCTTGTTGGATGTAATCAGCATGGATGACTTCCATACTGTGCAGAATTTCTGTGTGGGTGGTGTGTGTGTGTGTGTGTGTGCATGTGTGCATGCTGCGTGCTTGTATTGGAGTTTGAACTAGGGGCCTAGATGCTATCTGAGACTTTCTTGCCAGTCCTGGGACTTGAACTCAGGGCCTGGGCATTGTCCCTGAGCATTTTTTTTCTGCTCAAGGTTAGCATTCTACCACTTGGACCACAGCACCATATCTGGCCTTTTCTGTTTATGTAGTGCTGAGGAATCGAACCCAGGGCTTTGTGCATGCTGCTAAGCACTCTACCACTAAGCCACAGTCCCAGCTCATCTATATTTTTCATGTTGGTCGTGGGGCTTGAACTCGGGGCCTGGGAGCTGTCTCTGAGCTCTTTTTGCTCAAGGAGAGTGCTCTACCACTTTGAGCCACAGCGTCACTTCGGGTTTTCTGGTGGTTCATAGGAGACTAGTCTCATGGACTTTCTTGCTGGGGCTGGCTTTGAACCGCGATCCTCAGATCTCATCTGAGTAGCTAGGATGACAGATGTGAGCCGCTGGTGCTCCCTTCCTGCTATTCTTTTTAGCCTTTTCACTCAAGGCTGGCGTTCTGCCATTTGAGCCCCACCTGCCCTTCAGGCTTCTTAGTAGTTTATAGCAGATACTAGTGCCAGGCTTTTCTACCCAGGCTGGCTTTGAATCCATGATCCTCAGATCTGAGCCTCCTGTGTAGCTAGGATTTAAGGCATGAGCTCCCACGAGGTCTTTATCACGCTCACTTGGGCACTTGGGACACGGCGATGGTAGCGAGCCTGCCGTTGAAGGGTTAACTAGGCGTGTTGCACGTGCTGACAGAGGCTCAGGACATGGGTTTGGGGGTTGGTGGTGGGGCTCAGTGGAGGGCTGGGGTTTCTGAGCTCATCACTGCACATTTGCCACAGCCCCACCAAGCGGAAACCCCTGGAGGAATCTGAAAGTCTGAAATCAGAACCCGAGTCAATGGAAGAAGAGGAACACGATCAGGTGCGCTGTCCTTGTCCACTCGGGGTGCTTCTTGTGCGGGGTCTGGCCAGGAGGCCAGCATGCGGTCGCTTTCCCCAGGGAGGGCAGCGCGGGGCGCGCATGTGCATCTGGGGGTATGTGCAGAGAAGGCATTCTGGGGAGTGGACGGGCTCGGTGCACAAGGCAGACCTGGATGCTTGAACTGGGGCCAGGGAGAGCTGAGTGCTGGCATAGCTCAGTCTGAAGGACCAATTGAAAAATTTTTTTTTTTGGTAGGTTATGAGACTTGAACTCAGGGCCTGGGCACTGTCCCTGAGTCACGAGCCACAGCGCCACTTCGGGTTTTGAGTGGTTTATTGGAGATAAGAGTCTCACAGTCTTTACTGCCCGGGCTGGCTTTGAACCTGGATCCTCAGATCTCAGCCTCCTGAGTAGCTGGGATTACAGGCGTGAGCCACCAGCGCCCGGCTTCCCCTTTATTCTCGTGGTGATCCTGGGGCTTGAACTCCTGGCCTCCCACCTGATAGTCGCTGCTCATTTGCTGGAGCTGCGCCCCCAGCCTAGGATTGCTCTGGCTCTTCATAACAGTGCTTGTTTATTGGGGTTCTGGGAATTGAAGCCCAGCAGCTTGTGTGTGCTAAGTATGTGCCCAACCACTGAGCTCCCACTCAGCTTTACCCATGAGTTCACCCAGGACACCCGAGGTCAAGACTCTGAGGGAAGTTTGGGCACTGATGCTCACATCTGTAGATCGGAGGGTCACTGGTTTGAAGCCACCCTAGGCAGGAAAGGCCAGGAAATTCTTTGTCTCCAGTGAACTCTAAAAACAAGAAGTTGAGCTGTGGTTCAAGTTGGTAGAGCACTAGCCTTGAGCACCAAAGCTCAGAGCCAGCGTCCAGGTCCCAAGTTCAAGCCCCATGAACCACCTTCAAAAAAAGCAACCAAAAACACCAAAAAAAATGAGTAAAACCCAGGCTGATAGCTTTAGTGTATACACACCCCTCCTCTCCATGTTCCTAACCTCATGATGTGTATTCCCTGAATAGTCGTTGGATCAGTTCAGATTGGCTTCCAAATGATTTTCCTACCTTCCTTCCGCCTCTTGCGTGCTGGGATTAAAGGCATGCACTACTCTGCCCAGCTTCCAGCTTCGTTTACATTCAACTCCTGCTTTTGGCCCTGCTCTTCCTTTAAAATCAATTTCTTTTCTGTTTTTCCTCCCCTCCCCTCCCTCCTCCCTCCCCCTCTGCACAGGAGGAGAAGAGGCGTAGAGTTACATCCGTGGAATCGTAAGGATCATTCCTTTTCTTTGGCTGTTTTGTTTTCATTTTGTGCATTGTATCATTTTGGGTATGGAAATGTTCTGGACAGTTTGCGAGGGTTGCTAGGGAGTTTCTCCATCGTAGGCCTGCTAATAAGCTGAGTTTTGGGGTCACATTCCTCCCCTTGGTTGCAAAGCAGGAGTTGTGTCCCAGGGGAATGTGTGGTCAGAAGCGAGGTGGCCGAGGGTAGTGAACGGTTGCTGCATACGAGCCCTGAGACTCCTGGGGAGGGGAGGGGGGTCTGGGATGACCGCTGGGAAGAGATGGGGTGCATTTTCTGGGGGTGCTCTAAGTGTGACAAGTGCTTGGTGCTTTGTGTTCAGAGGCGCTGAGAGTGCTGCAGCAGAAGCGGAGACTGTTCCAGAAGCCGCCGGGGACCCGGAGATGAGCATCAAAGTAAAGCCTGGCCCCCAAGTGCTGTCCACCCCACCTGAGTGTCCTCCATGCCCCCTTGGGCTGTTGGAGTAAGGGTGGGAGGAAGTGACCTTCAGGATGGCTGGGAATGGTGTATGACTGGGTCAGATGGCCATTCAAGGTCACCAGGGGCAAAGTCAGGTTTTCTTTTCTTTATTTTGGGTCATTCATGGGGCTTGAACTCCAGGCCTGGGCGCTGTCCCTGAATTCTTCAGCTCAAGGCTAGCGCTCTACCACTTGAGCCACAGCGCCACTTCCAGTTTTCTCTGGCTCATTGGAGATGAATCTCAAGGGCGTTCCTGCCCAGGCTGCCTTTGAACCGAGTTCCTCAAATCTCAGCCTCCTGAGCAGCTAGGATGAGAGGCGGAAGCCACCAGCTTCTAGCCATCTAAGAATATTTTTAATTGTCCATTTCACCCCACCAAAAAAAGAGGATTGTGGGGCTGGGAAGGTGGCTCAGTGGTAGAGCGCTTACCTTGCATGCCTGAGGCTCTGGGTTCCATTCCTCAGCCACCACATAAGCAAAAAGAAAAAAGCCGGAAGTGGCGCTGTGGCTCAAGTGGTAGAGAGCTAGCCTTGAGCTGAAGAGCTGAGGGACAGCGCCCAGGCCCAGAGCTCAGGCCTCACGACTGGACCCAAAAAAAAAAAAAGATTGTCTTGTGGCAGTTAGTCCTGACTGCCAGCAAGAGGACAGGGACACTTGGGTCCTGTTTCCATGGGTCAGTTTGGCAATGGAAGAAACTTATCTAGCCTTTTCTTTTCTCCTAGGAGGAAAGCCTTGAAAGTCCTGTCCAACAGCTGTAAGTCTAGTTAACCTACTTCCGCGGGTCTGTCCGCGGGTCTGTCCGCGGTCCGCGGGTCTGTCCGCGGTCTGTGTCTGTCCTAGGGCTTGAACTCAGGGCCTGTGTGTTGTCCCTAAACTTTTTTGCTCAAGGCTGGCACTTTGCCACTTGAGCCGCAGCTCCACTTGCAGCTTTTTTTTGGCGTAGGTCGTGGAGCTGAGTCTCGTGGACTTTTCTTAGCCAGGTTGGCTTCACGCTGCTGTTCTCAGATCTAAGATCTCAGCCTCGTGAGCCGCTGGGGTTACAGGCGGGAGCCCCCAGCACTTGGCTTAGCATTGTGCTTTGTGGAGGTTTCATTGCTAACGTGATAAAATGATGGGTGGGTTCTAAGCAGCCCCTGGGGGGGGGGAGAAGGGGGAGGAGTCGGGGCTCACACTTGTAACCCAGCTACTTGGAGGCAGATTGGAAGGAGTGTGGTTCTGAGGCCAGCTGGGGCAAATCTCAACCATCTCAACCAAAACTGGCTGGACTAGGTAGTGGAGCATGCCTGTCATCCCAGCCACATGAGTGGCTGTAGATGGAAGCACTGTGTCTGAGGTGAGCTAGGGCGATCTTCCTTGCTTCGCCGCCTGTGTGCTGGGATTACAGGGGTGCACCATGATGCCTGCGCCACTATGCCACTATCTCCTTTTTCTTTTGTCAGTCGTGGGGCCTGAACTCTGGGCCTGGGCGCTGTCCCTCAGCTCTTCAGTTCAAGGCTAGCGCTCTACCACTTGAGCCACAGCACCACTTCTGACCTTTTCTGCTCATGTGGTGCTGAGGAATCAAACCCAGGGCCTCATGCATGCAAGGCAAGCGCTCTACCACTGAGCCGCCACCTCAGCCTACACATGTATTTTTGAGCCTCTGTTAAAACTGGCTGAAGCAATATTGGGGCTCTAGGCAGGTGACAGTGTCTCATGCCTGTAATCCTACTCAGGAGGCTGAGATCTGAGGACCCTGGTTCAAAGCCAGCCTGAGCAGGAAAGCCTGTAAGACTTACCTCCACTGAACCACCCAAGAACAGAAGTGTTGTGGCTCAAGTGGTAGATTGCTGGCCTTGAGCACAAAACTAAGGGACAGCGCCCGGGTCCTGAATTCAAGTCCTGGACTGGCAGAACAAACAACCCAGCACCACACTAATCATCCTGTGATCTCTATGATGGAGTCGTAATACAAGAGAGCTCGAGGGCTTCCTTGGACGAGATGGATGAGGAAGGAGCCCACTGAGTCACTCGCTGCCTCGTGTTCTTGGTTTCTGCAGAACGCCTAAATTGGAGGAGCCAGACCGAGAAGCGAGTCCAGGAACAGACGCACAGATGGAGGAAGATGACCCGGATGTCAAGGTTGGAGGCTTTTGTTTTCCCTTCCCTCTGCTTTATAGAGATTCTTACTTGACTGGGAGGAAAAAAAAGTTGTAGGGCAGGGTTCTGTGTTCACCTCTAGCCCCGTACACTGTGGTGGCAGCTGTAGACATGGTTCACCTGATGTCCCCCGGGGTCACTGGGGACCGTCCTGTGGGTGTCGGTGCCCCACGTACCTAGTGTGGTCAGCTCGCAGCCCTAGCGGCCTCAGAGCCGGGGGGTTCTGCTCTCTTACGCCCCCTGCTCCCCGTGGTCTTCAGCTGGTAGCATGAAGAGGACAGAGCCGGAGGCCTCTCCAGGGTTCTAAGCCTCTCCCCCAAGGCTGGGGAGGCTTTGGGCTCCGGCCACAGCTGGTACATCTGGGGGCCATCGATGCAGCTGGTAGTCCTGTCTCGCGGTGGAGGACTGTGAGCGTCCATCTTGGCCTTTTGCCTACCATTGACTTTTAATTTCGTAAATGCATTCAGTTTTTTTTTTGTTGGTGGTGGTTGTTGGCTATGGGATTTGAACTCAGGGCCTGGTCACTGTCCCTGATCTCTCTTGCTCAAGGCTAGCACTCTACCCCCTTGAGCCACTCTACCCCCTTGAGCACTACTTCCTGTTTTCTGGTGGTTAGTCTCGTGATCTTTCTTGCCCTGGCTGACTTCAAACTGCGATCCTCAAATCTTAGCCTCCTGAGTAGCTAAGATACAGGCGTGAGCCACCAGTGCCCAGTGAATCTTAACAGACTTGGGGCCCTGGCTGGCTTTGAACTGTGATCTTCAGGTCTGACTCCTCCATAGCTAGGATTAGATGAGAGCCACCAGTGCCCAGCGCAGAACTCTTAAAAACTTCCTGGCTGGGTTCGATTCCTCAGTACCACATACACAGAAAAAGCTGGAAGTGGCACTAACCTTGAGCAAAAGCTCAGGGACAGCACCCAGGTCCTGAGTTCAATCCCCAGGACTGGCAATAAACTAATACTTCTTGGCAGTGTTGGAGATCGTGGAAGGTTCTAGTTGCTTTTTGGGTCGGAGACTAATGGAGGGCGTTGGGGAGCCCGGTGCTCAGCCGGAGGCTCCCAGGCCTCTGCTCTCCTTGCCTCCAGTTCTCCGCTGTGTTGGAATCTGACCTTTTCCTCTGTCTCCACCTCCCTTTTCCCCTGGCAGGATGAAAAGAAGCCTAAGAGTCAACTCAGGGACGTGTAAGTGATCGGGCTGCTCTGTTTGGCGTTCTGGAAATGTGGGGCGATGGGAGTTTTCTGGGAATGACGGTAGTGCTGTGAGGGTGAAGCAGGACCGAGCGGTACTCGCGCCTGCTCCCTCCACGCCTGCGCAGTCACGAGGGTGCCGCAACCCGAGGACCCTCTTTTCTCCACGTCTGGGAGGGTGCCGGAAAGACCATACGTATTTTGGGGGCGGAGGGAATGGGTTGTGCAGTTACCAGGGTTGGAACTAAGCCTTGAGCTTGGCTTGGCTCGCTTGCTGGATGTTCCGCCACGTGAGCCACACTTCGGTCCGGCTTTTGGCTGGTTATTTTGGGAGATGAAGTCCCAGTTTTTCTGCCCCAGCCTGGCTTTGAACTTCCATCCTCTGAGCTCAGCCTTCTGATTGGGTCCAATTACAGACGTGAGCCACCCTCACCTCCCCAGCGAGTTGCTCTATTTTTTTTTTTTCACCAGTCCTGGGGCTTGAACTCAGGGCCTGGACGCTGTCCCTGAGCTGCTTTTGCTCAAGGCGAGCACTCTACTGCTTGAGCCACAGCGCCACCTTCGGCTTTTTCTGTCTGTGGTGCTGAGGAATGGAACCCAGGGCTTCATGCATGCAAGGCCGGCACTCTACCACTGAGCCACAGTCCCAGTCCCAATTGCTTTGCTTGTTGATAGCGAGATAGTTAAGTATTTGCTCACTTGGACAGGACTCCCAAACGGAAAACGAGACCGGAAAAGCGACCAACTCCACACACATCTGCATCAAGAGCCACCCGTGAGAGTGTAAGGCAACATTCTTGATTCTTTTTTTTAATCTTGGCAGCATAGGGATTTGAACTCGGGCCTTTTGGACTTAGTAGAAAAGTGCTCTGCCCCGTGAACCTCACACTCAGCCCTTCGTGCTTTCGCTTCTGATAAGAGAGCCTGGCCTGGTTTCCGACATGGTTTATTCCACCACTGCCTTGCATGTAGCTGGGATTACAGGCATACACTACTGTGCACGGCTTCCCCTGGCTTTCCTTTGAATCGAGCCCTGCACAAGATCTAGATAAATGTATGGTCATGTGTTTAAACCTAGGAACATGTTCTGGGAAACGAGTTTTCTATGAGCTGGTTATTGTGGCTGGCTTTTACACGAGCACAGTGAGTGTGACCATCACATGAATGTCACATTGTCACATATGGGGTTCATTGGTGACCCAAACACCACTAGGCAGCCCAGATCTCTAGCTTGTGCAAGGCGCTTTTATTTTCTGTTCTCCATTTTGCCTGGTCTTCCCCGCCTTCGGTTCTGTCTCTTGTAGGGTTGGGTGAGGTGGTGGGATTGGGGGTGAGTATTTTCTAGAGAACTCTGGAGGTGATCGGTTTTCATAGGAGACCTGAGAGTCTCTGTTGTATTAACATGGCTCCCACCCTCGCCTGCCATCTGCTTGATCAGCTCACCTGCCTGATCTCACTTGGTTGAGTTCTTTTCTCGAAGACCCCAGGCCCTTTGCACATGCTAGGCAAGTGCTTTACCACTGAGCCCCACCCAGCCCTCATTAAGTGGACAATTCCTTCTGCACAGTACTTCATTAGAATTGGCTCACTGTGAATGTCGCTGTCCCTGCGCGTCGGTATGCCCAGTCCCCATGGACCGGCATTCAGGGAAGATTCATGTCCCTGATCTCTTCACAATGACCTCCTGGTTACTTTCTTACGAGGCAGGTGGGACCCCAGATGGCCGTCCCCTCTTTATCTTCCCGGGGGCTCCCCTCACGAGAATGTCCCAGCTGTTGGACACACTGGCATGGCCTTCAGGATCCCTGTGCCCATTAGAGAGATGGGGACCGAGGGCTTGTGTGGACATTTATCTGTACTGGGGCACGGCTTGCTGTGCACCCGCCTTCCAAGCTCACTGGCTTTTCCTAAAGGTAACGCTTGATTTCCCCTGGCCTGCTGTGAACCTTCATGTTTGTGGGACTGGGATTTGAACTCGGGGCCTCAAAGTTGCTAGGGGTGGTGTACCATTTGAGCCATGTCTCTAGCCTTTGTGAAACTTGTTTTTGGATGGGGATGGTCAGTTGTGGGATTTGAACTTGGGGCCTGGGTGCTGTTTCACTCGAGGCTGGTGTTCTGCCACTTGAGCCAGAGTACCATTTTGGATTTTTTGGTAGTTAATTGAAGATCAATCTCATGACTTTTTTCCTGCCTGGGCTAGCTTTGAACTCTTATCCTCAGATCTAAGGCTCCTGAGTAGCAAGGATTACAGGCGTGAGTCACCGGCGCCCAGTGCTCCTTGTAAAACTCTGGGGTGTTGGGCCATAAAACTTTTGAGATAGGATCTTACCTACATCCCACACTTTCCTGGAACTCTCCCTCCTCCTGCCTCAGCCTTCTGAGTGCTGGGACTGCAGGCATGTACTACCATGCCCCACTTGGGCATAAAATGGAGGAGTGTGGGATTTTTGGTGCTGGGTCAGATCCCGCCTCTTGACAGTGTTGCTGTGTGGGTTGATCACCTTTGGTTTCTTGGTCTGGATGCAGAGTATTGACTTAACTTTCTTAACGTACTATTCCTCTTTTCCTCTAGGATGAGAAAAGAAGCAAAACCAAAGAAATGTAAGAACTCTGTTGTCATGGTTGTTGTGCCAGTGCTGGCACTTGAACTCGGGGCCCTGGGGGCGTCCTCATAAACTGCCATCTCCTGTGTGGATGGGGGGGACACTGGTCCGCTGGGGTCTGTGACACCGTTCCCAGTTGACAAACAACCTTGTGTTCTTTGCGCAGAACTGAGAAAAAAGAGACCGGGACCAAAGCGATGCTGAACCTCAAGGTAAACTACGCATGCGCAGGGAGGAGGCTGGAGAGAGGGAGCCCTGCGCATGCGCCCCGCTGATGCCCCTGCCCCCCACAGCCACAGGAGCCCAGGTGTTCGGAGTGTGGGCAGTACCTGGACGACCTGGACCTCAAGTATGAGCAGCACCCCCACGATGCCGTAAGTGCCAGCTCTCCGGTCCTGCCTTCCCATCCCGTGGCCTCCCCCCCCCCCCCCTCCAGTGCCTCTGCCTCACATGGACCCTGGTCCCTCAGCTGGAGGAGCCCCAGATGTTGACCAACGAGAAACTCTCCATCTTCGATGACACCAACGAATCGGGCTTCGAGAGTTATGAGGCTTTACCCCAGCACAAGCTGACGGGCTTCAGGTAAGCCACGCCCACAGGCATGGGCTGGGCTGGGGCTTCAGGTAAGCCACGCCCACAGGCATGGGCTGGGCTGGGGCTTCAGGTAAGCCACGCCCACAGGCATGGGCTGGGCTGGGGCTTCAGGTAAGCCACGCCCACGCGGGCATGGGCTGGGCTGGGGCTTCAGGTAAGCCACGCCCACGGGCATGGGCTGGGCTCGGGCCTCGATCGCCACAGCCACCACCAGCCAGCTGCCACCCGCATCCCTGCCCCCATGCGGGCATCCTGGACCTCCGCTAAAGCTGAGTGGCACCATCTTGGTGGCTGTAGTTGTTTTGACACTTTGATCACATTGCAAACCTTGCCCAAGTCTGGATACTGGGCCCTAAACACATGAGGGTGTGTGTGTGTGTGTGTGTGTGTGTGTGTGTGTGTGTGTGTGTGTGTGTGTGTGTGTGTGTGTGTGTGTGTGTGTGTGTGTGTGTGTGTGTGTGTGTGTGTGTGTGTGTGTGTGTGTGTGTGTGTGTGTGTGTGTGTGTGTGTGTGTGTGTGTGCTTGAACTCTGGGCCCTAAACACATGAGGGTGTGTGTGTGTGTGTGTGTGTGTGTGTGTGTGCTTGAACTCTGGGCCCTAAACACATGAGGGTGTGTGTGTGTGTGTGCTTGAACTCTGGGCCCTAAACACATGAGGGTGTGTGTGTGTGTGTGCTTGAACTCTGGGCCCTAAACACATGAGGGTGTGTGTGTGTGTGTGCTTGAACTCTGGGCCCCAACCTTGTCTTCAAGCTACTTTGCCTTAACACTAGGCACTCTACCACTTGAGCCACAACACCACTTCTAGCTTTTTCCATGATTAATTGGAGATAAGAGTCTCACAGACTTTCTTGCCTGGGCTGGCTTCAAACCACGATCCTCAGATCTCAGCCTCCTGAGTAGCTAGGATGACAGGCGTGAGCCACTGACACCTGGCTTTTTTATTTCCTTTTTGGTCGGTTGTGGGGCCTGAACTCCGGGCCTGGGCGCTGTCCCTCAGCTCTTCCGCTCAAGGCGAGCACTCTACCACTTGAGCCACAGCGCCACTTCCGGCTTTTTTGGTTTATTGGAGAGCAGCGTCTCCCAGACTTCTTTTCCCTGGGCTAGCTGGGAACCAGCCCTTCCCCTCCCCCCTCCTCCCCCCCCCTTGGTATGTATCTAATTGTCCTGAAATAGTTTCCCATCACATTCATCACAGACCTGCTCTATAATAGGGTCTCTTGTTGTCGGCCGCCTGTGCCTGGCCTCGGCTCCCTGTCCACGTGAGGTCGGCATGGAACTTTCCAGTAGCCCTCACCATGCTTCTCTCGCTTGCCTAGAAAAGCAATCGCTTCCCCACCTGCCCTGGCTCTGGCCAGCTTTCAAAGCGGGCTGACCATTGATGAGGTAGCCCAGCTGGCAGACGGTTCTGGAAGGCCGCGCTCACGGCCTGGGTGACAGTGCCCGGCACGGGCCTGGGGCTTTGTCATCGCGTGGGCCTGGGCCTCTCTGTGCATGGAGACCTGCCACGGTGGCTCAGCTGTAAAATGTCCCCTGACCGTCTGTCTAGTGTGTATTGCAAGCGCGGCCACCTGTGTCCCATCGACACCGGCCTGATCGAGAAGAACGTGGAGCTCTTCTTTTCTGGGTCGGCCAAAGCCATCTATGAGGACAACCCATCTCTTGAAGGTACGTGGAAAGTTCCAGAAGGGGATCTTGGGGGGAGCTGGTTTCCAAACCAACCCAGTTGGGGAAAATACTCTGTGTATGTTCCATCCTGGGGCCAAGCTGGTTCCTGTCTCTGCGCACAGGTGGCGTGAACGGCAAACACCTGGGTCCCATCAACGAGTGGTGGATCACAGGCTTTGACGGCGGGGAGAAAGTGCTCATGGGCTTCAGCACCGGTAACGGAGCAGTCGGGGCCCTGGTGCGGGGGAAGGGCTTCTAGGGTGACGCATGGGACCCAGGCTCCGTGGTAGTTAGGAATGGCCGTGGCACTGAGCCTCATGTTTGAGTCGGTCAAGGCAGAGCTTGGTGCCTCACGCCTGTAATCCAAGCTCCTCTCAAGAAGCTGAGATCTGAGGATCGCAGTTCACAGCCAGACCCACCAGGAAAAGCCTGAGATGTTAGTCTGCAAATAACCACCAAAAAGCTGGAAATAGAGCCGAGGCTCAAGGGATAGAATGACAGCTTTGAGTGAAAAAGCTCACAGTGCTCAGGCCCTGAGTTCAAGCCCCAGGACCGGCAAGAAAAGAAAAAAAAAAAAGGCAGGTGCCGTTTTCTAATAGCTGTGTTCCCTCAGCGTTTGCTGAATACATCCTCATGGACCCCAGCCCAGAGTACGCCCCCATATTTGGGCAGATGCAGGAGAAGGTGTACATCAGCAAGATAGTGGTGGAATTCCTCCTGGGGAACCCTGACGCCACGTATGAAGACCTCATCAACAAGATTGAGGTGAGGTGACCTGTGCTAGCTCCCAGGAGCCAGCACAAAGCTGCAAGTGGTCGTATGGCTCAAGTGGTAGAGCACCAGCCTTGAGAAAAACTAAAACTGCAGGGCAAGGCCCAGACACGGAGTTCAAGCCCCAGTACTACCCCAAAAACAGATACAGATGGAATACATAAGTAAGGTAATCCAGTCACCAGTGGCTTACACCTATCAGATCCTCAAGTGGCTGAGGACCAAGAATTTCAAGCCAGCCTTGCCAGGAAATGCCCTTAGAGACTCCCCACCTCCAGTTGGTGACCGAAATGCTTGACTGGAGCCGTGGTTCAAGTGGTAGAGCACCAGCCCCCCCCCAAAACAACAAAACTGAGCAAGACTGCCGGGTCTCCATCCCACACCTCAGGGCAAACACAGAATATAGGAAACACCGGTTTTTTGTGTTTTGTTTTATTACTTGGGGATGGAACCCAGGACCTTTGTACATGCCAGGCAAACGCTTTACCGCCTTGTGTTTTGTAATTTCACTTTTTTTTTAAAATTCCTGCCCAAAGACCACAGTGCCTCCTTCCGGCCTGAACCTGAACCACTTCACGGAGGACTCGCTCCTGCGCCACGCGCAGTTCGTGGTGGGACAGGTGGAGAGCTACGACAGGGCCAAGGACACGGACGAGGAGCCCATCTACCTGAGCCCCTGCATGAGGGCCCTCATCAAGCTGTGCGGCGTGACGCTGGGGCAGAGGTAGGGACCCCCGCAGCCGGGAAGGCCCACGCGGCCTCCATAGCGGGCGCTGGCGGCTCATCCATGGCTGTCACCCCAGCTGGGTCAGGAGGCTGGGATCTGAGGATCGCAGTTTGAGGCCAGCTCGGGCAGGGAAGTCCAAGAGACTCTGATCTCGAATGAATCCCCTACAAACAGGAAGTGGCGCTGTGACTCAGTGGTAGCGCGCTAGCCTGGAGTGAAATGAAAGCCCAGGGACAGCGCCCAGGCCCTGAGTTCAAGCCCCACAACTGACCGTTATCCTCTGTGTCCGCTCCCCCCTAAGATGGTTGCCCCTTCTTTTGCCCTCAGACGAGCCGTGAGCAGCCGCTCCATGAAACCCCCTGCCAAGGACAAAGACAAGGGCCCCACGAAGGCCACCACCACCAAGCTGGTCTACCAGATCTTCGACACCTTCTTTGCCGAACAGATCGAGAAGGATGAGAGGGCCGACCGGGAGGACAAGGAGAATAATTCCAAACGCCGCCGCTGTGGTGTCTGCGAGGTAGCCACGCCCCCTCCCGCCACGCCCACCTCTCATCCTGCCCCAGCCACACCCCCTGCCAGCCGCCTGTTGGCTCTGTAGCTGGGGACAGATGGCTCTGGGTAAGTGGCCCCGCGTTTACCCGCAGGGCTGTGGGTTCCAGGTCAGCCTGGGCATCCCCGCCACGCCCTGTCTCTCAGCACCTGGGCAAGCGCCTGTCACGCCAGCCATGACAAGGTCCCTTGAAGTAGGTGGATCGCAGTCCAGTGCGAGCTGTTTTGCCGGTGGCATGCCAGCTACTCGGGAGCCTGAGATCTGAGTGTGGGTTCTAGGCCAGCCCGGACAGGAAAGTCCATGAGACTCTTGCTTGCACTAAACTGCCCAAAGGCCGGAGGTGGAGCTGTGGCTGGAGCTAAAAACCTCAGGGATAGCAGGCCCTGAGTTCAAACCCCAGGAACAGCATAAAAACTGTAAAAACAAAAGGGGAGTGCTGCAGGCATGCCCAGTGGCTGAGGCCTTGAGTTCAAACGAGTCCACCCCCAAAACGAAAAGTACAGCCAGGTACTTGCACTCATTCACACCTGTTATCCAAGCTACTGAGGCGACTGAGATCGGAGGCTCAAGAACGCAAATCCAGCCCGGGCAGGGCAAATCCATGAGCCCCATCTCCTGCGCTCAGCACAAAGCCAGAAGTGAAGGTGTGGTCTACATGGTGTGGTCTACATGGTAGAGCACCACCCTGAGTGGAAAAAGCTAAGAGATAGCAGCCCAGGCCTGATCAAGCCCCACTATTGGCACACACACACCCAGCACCCCGCCAAGGATGGCTACTTGAGGTGCCCTGGGCTTTCCTTTGAAGGTGTGCCAGCAGCCCGAGTGTGGCGTGTGCAGGGCGTGCATGGACATGGTCAAGTTTGGCGGGAGTGGGCGGAGCAAGCAGGCGTGCGTGCAGCGCAGGTAGGTGGCAAGCGCCCCCTGCCGGCCGGGCGGCAGAGCACAGGACCCGCGTGGCCTCCGCGGCCTGGGCTAGCGGGGCCCTGCCGGTGGACACGTTTTCTGCCCCGTGGGCGCACAGGTGTCCCAACCTGGCCATGAAGGAGGCCGAGGAAGATGAGGAGGTGGACGACAACATCCCGGAAATGCCCTCGCCCAAGAAGATGCACCAGGCCAAGAAGAAGAAGCAGAACAAGGCGCGGATCTCCTGGGTTGGTCCAGCCATCAAGGTGAGCTTGGCCCAGGGCCTGACAGACAGCTGGGTGACTTTTGGTTTTGTTTTTTGGTTCCAGTCCGGAGGGGCCTTGAACTCGGGGCCTGAGGGCTGAGTTTTTTTTTGTTTTGTTTTGTTTTGGGTCCAGTCGTGGGGCCTGAACTCTGGGCCTGGGCGCTGTCCCTCAGCTCTTCAGCTCAAGGCTAGCACTCTACCACTTGAGCCACAGCACCACTTCTGGCTTTTTCCTTTTTGCTTATGTGGTGCTGAGGAATCGAACCCAGGGCCTTAGGCATGCAAGGCAAGCGCTCTACCACTGGGCCACCTTCCCAGCCCGAGTTTGGTTTTTTTGTTCATTAATTTCTTTTATTCAAGGCCAGTGCTTTACGGTTCGAGCCACAGAGCCACTTCCGGCTTTTTCTGCTTATGTGGTGCTGAGGAATTGAACCCAGGGCCTCATGCATGGGAGGCAAGCACTGTACCACTGAGCCACCTTCCCAGCCACATCATTTTTACTTTTAATTTTTTTCTTAGCTGATACTGTGGCTTGAATTCTGACTTAGCTTTTTTTTTTTGGATCTTAACTGCTTGAGCCATACCTACAGCCCAGCATTTTGCTGGTTTCTTAATGGTAGAGCTTCTGGCCGTTTTTTTTTTGTTTTTATTGGTCATGAGGCTTGGACTCTTGGGTCTGGGCGCTGTCCCTCAGCTCTTCAGCTCAAGGCGAGCGCTCTACCACCTGAGCCACAGCGCCACTTCCGGTTTTCTGGTGTTTCATTGGCAATAAGTTTCACGGCCTTTCCTGTCCAGACTGGCTTTGAACCGCGATCCTCAGATCTCAGCCTCCTGAGTAGCTAGGATTAAAGGCGTGAGTCACCGGTGCCTGGCCTTCTTTTTTTTTTTTGGCCTACGCTGTCCTTGAACCTCGATCCTCAGGTCTTGGTCCCGTCACAAGGGATGATACATGAATTTAGGGACCATCGCCCTGGGCCGCTCCCCATTGTCACCTGTTTCAGGCTGAAGGGAAGAAGACTTTCTACCAGAAGGTGTGCATCGACGAGGAGACCCTGGAGGTGGGCGACTGCGTCTCCGTCATCCCTGATGACTCCTCCAAGCCGCTCTACCTCGCGAGGTGCGTGGCCCAACACCTGTGCTGGGTGAGGTGGCTCACGCCTGTCATCCCAGCCACTCCGGAGGCTGCGAGGGGACCCTCGTGGTTCAAAGCCAGCCTGGGCGGGAAGGTTGGGAGCCTCTTCTTGCCAATGAATCACAGAAGCCCGAAGTGGCGCTGTGGCTTCTGGGTAGAGCGCCGGCCCCGAGCAGAGACGTCGGGCTCCAAAACCAAACCTCCCGCATGCGCCTCCTGCGGCCGCAGCGTCACGCCCGCGTGTCACACACCCGCTGTCCTGTCGCTGCCCGCAGGGCCACGGCGCTGTGGGAGGACGGCAGCGGGAAGATGTTCCACGCACACTGGTTCTGCGCGGGGTCGGACACGGTCCTGGGCGCCACGTCGGACCCGCGGGAGCTGTTCCTCGTGGACGAGTGCGAGGACATGCAGCTGTCGTACGTGCACAGCAAGGTCACGGTGATCCACAAGCCGCCGTCGCCCAACTGGGCCATGGAGGTGAGCGTGCGCGGTGCCCCCACCCCACCACCCCAGGCTCAGGGCAGAGGCTGACCCCCCCCCCCCCCCCCCCCGCACCTTTGTCCCCCAAGGGAGGCCTGGAGCCCGAGGACATGCTACTGGGCGAAGTCAATGATGGCAAGACCTACTTCTACCAGCTGTGGTACGACCAGGACTACGCCAGGTTTGAGTCCCCGCCCAAGATGCAGCCCACCGAGGAAAACAAGCACAAGTGAGTGTCAGGAGCGGGCCTCCGCTCGCGGGCCTCCGCTCGCGGGCCTCCGCTCTCGCTTACTGCCTCTCCCACTCATGCCCTTTGCTGACTTGGTGGATATGAGAAGTCTTGGGGCGGGGAGAGAGTTAGTAGTAGGGCTTGACCTTAGGGCCATGTATTCCCACCTGGCTTTCTCACGCTCATGGCTGGTGATCTACCACTTGAGCCATGCCTTCACTTCCAGGGTTTAGGCTGGTGAGTTAGAGGTGTTTTGGGACGGTTTGGCTCCTCTGCCCTGCGCATCCTGAGCATCAGGATTGCACGTGTGCACTGCCCGCACCCAGCAGTAGGAAAAGCGGTGGGCCAGGATCTCCCGGGCTGGAGCTCCTTGGGTTAGGGGGTCTTCTTGCTTCAGTTTTGCTTCCCACGTAGCTGGTACTATAGGTGTCTCTGCCATACCAGCTTTGTGGCGTTTTTTTGGTTGGTTGTGGGGCCTGAACTCTGGGCCTGGGCGCTGTCCCTCAGCTCAAGGCCAGCGCTCTACCACTTGAGCCACAGCTCCACTTCCGGTTTTCTGGTGGTTCATTGGAGATGAGTCTCACGGACTTTCCTGCCCGGGCTGGCTTTGAACCGCGATCCTCAGCTCTCAGCCTCCTGAGTAGCTGGGATGGCTTGGTGTTTGCTCTCTAGTCACTTTTCAGACAGGGTTTTATGTTTCTGGCTCGGGTTAGCCTAGCCCAGTCTTTCCCACCTCCACTTTTTGCGTAGCTGCTATTCGGGTACACTCCACCGAGCTTGGCCTAGCTCTTCGTTCTTTGAGGTCTGGTGTTTGTCTATAGCATAGGCTGGCCTCACACTTCAATCCTCCTGCCTCAGCCTCTCTAGTGCTGGGATTACAGGTGTGAGCCACCATGCTGAGCTCTTCTCAGCCACATTCCTATGGCTGGCTTTGTCTTCTTGGGTTCTGTCTTTGGGTATTTGGGGGGGGTGGGGGATGGCCTTTGGGGGGGTGGCGGCAGTCTTCAGTGCCTTGGGTCTGTGCTTGCTTCCTGCAGGTTCTGCGTGAGCTGTGCCCGGCTGGCGGAGATGAGACAGAAGGAGATTCCCAGGGTCTTGGAGCAGGTGGACGAGCTGGACAACCGGTTCTTCTACAGCTCGGCCACCAAGAATGGCGTTGTGTACCGCGTGGGCGACGGGGTGTACCTGCCCCCCGAGGCCTTCGCATTCAAGTGAGCCCCCTTGTTCCCTGCCAGCGGGCCCCCCAACTTCTGTGCCCCTCAGATCACACTTGAGCTCTGTGCCAGACCCATGACGAGGTAGCCAGTGGGTGAGGGCTGATCCTGCTGGGCTGCCAGCTGCCCCATGTTGCTGCAGAATGCGGGAGCCGAGCGTGGTGATCATGCATGTAATCCCAGCTGCTCCGTAGGCTGAGGTTGGAGGGTTGAGGGTTCAAAGCCAGCCCGGGCAGCCAAGTCTTGAGACAGCTTCATTTCTAATGAACCAATAAGCTTAGATGTGGGACTGTGGCTCAAGTGGTGGAGCTCCAGCCTCTGCTCAGCGTCCCAGGCCCGAGTTCAAATCCTAGGACTGGTGCATGTGCGCGCACACACACACACACACACACACACACGGTAGCCTCAGGGTCACGTGGCCTGACCCCCACTTCTCCGCAGCATCAAGCTGTCCAGCCCTGTGAAGCGCCCGAAGAAGGAGCCTGTGAACGAGCACCTGTATCCCGAGCACTACCGGAAGTACTCGGACTACATTAAAGGGAGCAACCTGGACGCCCCCGAGCCCTACCGCATTGGCCGCATCAAGGAGATTTTCTGCACCAAGAAGAGCAACGGCAAGCCCAACGAAGCAGACATCAAGATCCGCGTCAACAAGTTCTACAGGTAGGTGGGCGGATCCCCTTCCAGAAGCTTCTACCAGTGCTGGTTTTCTAGTCTTGGTTGTGACTACAGCCGGTCAGGAAGCAGGGATGGGGCGGCTGCATTCCCCAGCCATCCCCATGGACCAGCGTGTTGAGACCCCGTGTGTACCAGTCGGCCAGGTGGGGTGAGGTGCTCCTGTCATCCCAGCTCTGAACGAGGCCTCAGTTGGATCTTGGTTCAGGCTAGCTTGGACACGAATGCCAGACCCTACAAAAGGGCCAGGGACGCGGGGTTCGATGGAGTGCTGCCAAAAACAGATGTTGAGAGCTGTTTGAAATGTGTCTTGCTTTTTGGGGTTTTGTTTTTGGTCATGAGACTTGAACTTGGGTCCTGGGTGTGCAGTCCCTGAACTCTTGCTCAAGGCTGGTGCTCTACCACTGCGAGGCACAGCGCCACTTCTGATTTTCTGGTAGTTCATTGGAGATGAGTCTTCATAGAACTTCTTGCCCTGATTAGTTTTGAACCACGATCCTCAGTTCTCAGCCTCCTGAGTAGCTGGGATTACAGGCATCAGCCACCACACGGGGCCTGGCTCTTTGAGCTCAGTGGATCCCTACTGCCTTTGCCGAGCCATATAACACCTGAACCCCGCTCCCCAGCCCCCCAAGATCTTGCATGACATGGCCAACACCCCAGTGTCCCCCAAACTGGGAAACGCTTCCTTCCAGTGGCCCTCCTTGTGGGTAAGGGGGTGCTGCATGTTGTGATTCCTTGGGAGCTCCCCCGCCAAGCAAGCATCCTCCCCGCACAGGCCGGAGAACACGCACAAGGCCACGCCCGCCAGCTACCACGCAGACATCAACATGCTGTACTGGAGCGACGAGGAGGCGGTGGTGGACTTCAAGGCGGCGCAGGGCCGCTGCACGGTGGAGTACGGGGAGGACCTGCCCGAGTGCGTGCAGGAGTACTCGGCCCGCGGCCCCGACCGCTTCTACTTCATTGAGGTGCGCCCCCCCCCCCCCCCAACTGCCCCGATCGCTTCTACTCCATCCAGGTGCGGCCCCCACGGCACGCGCCGCCCCCCCCCCCCCCCAACTGCCGCCCCATGGGGCTGGCGGTCATCTCTGGCGTTCCAAGGAAAAGTGGGAAGTCAGGCACCGGTAGCGCACACCTGTAATCCCAGCCACTTGGGAGGCTGAGATAGGTGGTTCAAAGCCAGCCCTGGCCAACATAAAAGTCCATGAGACTATTATTATAAATCTCCAAAACTGCTAGTGGAGCTGTGGCGCCAGTGATGGATTTTTCACTCGTGGCTGGTGCTGTAAGGGACGAGCCCCTGGTCCTGAGTTCAAGTCCCAGTAATAGCGCACACAGAACACAAAGGAGTGGGATTTGGTTTGGCATTTTGCAGTGTGGTTAAAAAACAATTACACCATACTGGCAGCCGATTAGCTATGATTCTAGCGACAAGTTAGCTAACTTTCTTTATGGTGGGTCTTGAACTCAGGGCCTGGGCACTGTCCCAGAGCTCTTTTGCTCAAGGCTAGCCCTCCACCACTAAGACTCATAGCTCCACTTCGGTTTTTGAGTGAACCACGGGAAATAGTCTCACAGACTTTTCCTGCCAGGCTGGCTTCGAACTGCCATCCTCCAATCTTGAAGCTGGGATTACAGGCAGGAGCCACGGGTGCCCATCCCAAATGAACTTCCCTAGAAGTGTGCCGGGGCGGGGACCGAGGGCCGCGTCCCCCCCGAGCCTCACGGCCGCTTCTTTCCAGGCCTACAATGCAAAGAGCAAAAGCTTCGAAGACCCCCCAAACCATGCCCGCAGCCCCGGGAATAAAGGGAAAGGAAAAGGCAAAGGTAAAAAGACCTCTTCCCACCTTGGGGTGTGGAGGTGCACCCCTGGGGCATGGGGCTTGAACTCGGCCTGGGCGCTGTCCCTCCACTCTTCAGCTCAAGGCGGGCGCTCTACCCCTTGAGCCACAGCGCCACTTCTGGTTTTCTGGTGGTTTATTGGAGATCAGAGTCTGATGGCCTCTCCTGGCCTGGGCTGGCCTTGAACCGCGATCCTCAGATCTCAGCCTCCCGAGTAGCTAGGGTGATAGGCGGGAGCCCCCTGCGCTGCGGAGTGACGGGAAGTCCCCCTTTTCCCGCCCCCTTGGTTGGTGCGCACTGCGCCTGCGCGCGGCCTCCAGCTTTGCTGTGTGGCCTCCAGGGAAAAGCAAGGCGAAGGCGGCGCCGGCGCCGGAGCCCAGCGAGCCGGAGGCCGGGAGGCTGCCCAAGCTGCGCACCCTCGACGTGTTCTCGGGCTGCGGGGGCTTGTCCGAGGGATTCCACCAGGCCGGTAGGCGCCATCGGGGAGGGGGCAGTCGTGGGGAGTAGGGGGCTGCTTGGGGGGACGCTGGCCGCCCCCCATGCCGTCCTGACCCCCGGTGCCCCCCATGCCGTCCTGACCCCCCGGTGCCCCCCATGCCGTCCTCCTGCCCCATGTCCCCCATGCCGTCCTGACCCCCGGTGCCCCCCATGCCGTCCTCCTGCCTCCCCCGATGCCCCCCATGCCGTCCTGACCCCCGGTGCCCCCCATGCCGTCTCCCCCCCATGCCGTCTCCCCCCCATGCCGTCCTGACCCCCCCGATGCCCCCCTGACCCCCCCGGTGCCCCCCATGCCGTCCCCCCCTCCCATGCCGTCCCCCCCTCCCATGCCGTCCCCCCCTCCCATGCCGTCCCCCCCTCCCATGCCGTCCCCCCCTCCCATGCCGTCCCCCCCCTCCCATGCCGTCCCCCCCTCCCATGCCGTCCCCCTCCCATGCCGTCCCCCCCTCCCATGCCGTCCCCCCCTCCCATGCCGTCCCCCCCTCCCATGCCGTCCCCCCCTCCCATGCCGTCCCCCCCACGCAGGCATCTCGGAGACGCTGTGGGCCATCGAGATGTGGGAGCCGGCGGCGCAGGCGTTCCGCCTGAACAACCCCGCGTCCACCGTGTTCACCGAGGACTGCAACGTGCTGCTGAAGCTGGTCATGGCCGGGGAGGTGGCCAACGCCCTGGGCCAGCGGCTCCCCCAGAAGGGCGACGTGGAGATGCTGTGCGGCGGGCCGCCCTGCCAGGGCTTCAGCGGCATGAACCGCTTCAACTCCCGCACCTACTCCAAGTTCAAGAACTCGCTGGTGGTCTCCTTCCTCAGGTAGTCACGGGTCGGAGGGGAGCGGGGTGCCCGGCTGCCCCCCCCCCATGCTGGACGGGGGCAGAAGGGCCCCTGCCCGCTCTCCCGCCAAGGTCCCTCATCCCACGTCTCCTCCCCTGTAGCTACTGTGACTACTACCGTCCCCGCTTCTTCCTCCTGGAGAACGTGCGCAACTTCGTGTCCTTCAAACGCTCCATGGTGCTGAAGCTCACGCTGCGCTGCCTGGTCCGCATGGGCTACCAGTGCACTTTTGGGGTGCTGCAGGTGTGTGCTTCACCCTGTCCTGATGTGCCCCCCCCCCCCACTCATTCCCGTCCAGAGAGGGCTGGGCAGGCCAGGGCACAGGGTTGCCCACTGCTCAGCCTGTCAAAGTGGGGGTGTCGGGGGCCTGGCAGGAAGGGGGCTGGGGTGACCAGAGGGAATCGGGGCGCCTCTGGTGAAATGTTGGCTCTGGACTGCGGCGGCAGTGGGGGAGGGGTGGACCCTCTCCCCCATCTGTGTGGAGCCCCCCTCCCGCTCCCAGCGTCAGGCGGGTGCGGGGTTTGGGGTGTCTGATCGTGGGGTGCGGCCCTCCCCGGCGCAGGCGGGGCAGTACGGCGTGGCCCAGACGCGCAGGCGCGCTATCATCCTGGCGGCGGCCCCCGGGGAGCAGCTGCCCCTGTTCCCCGAGCCCCTGCACGTGTTCGCGCCCCGGGCCTGCCAGTTGAGCGTCGTGGTGGACGACAAGAAGTTTGTCAGCAACATCACGAGGTAGGAAGCCCCCCCCCCCCCCCGGGGTGCGGCCGGTCGCGGGGTCCCCCCGGCACTCAGGCTCCCCGCCGTGCTGCAGGTTGAGCTCCGGCCCCTACCGCACCATCACCGTGCGGGACACCATGTCCGACCTCCCCGAGATCCAGAACGGCGCGTCGGCCTCCGAGATCTCCTACAACGGGGAGCCCCAGTCCTGGTTCCAGCGGCAGCTCCGGGGCTCCCACTACCAGCCCATCCTCAGAGACCACATCTGCAAGGTAGCGCCGGCCTGCGGCTCCCCCCTGCCGTCCCGCCCCCGTGCCCTTCCCCCTGGGGCCCCTGGTGGGGTGCGGCCCCCCCTCGGGGGCCTCTGGCGGCCCGGGCTGACCCCGCACCGCCTGCAGGACATGAGCCCCCTGGTGGCCGCGCGCATGCGCCACATCCCGCTGGCGCCCGGCTCGGACTGGCGGGACCTGCCCAACATCGAGGTGCGGCTGTCGGACAACACCATCACCAAGAAGCTGCGCTACAACTACCACGACCGCAAGCACGGCCGCAGCCGCTCGGGGGCGCTGCGGGGCGTGTGCTCCTGCGTGCAGGGTACGGCGATCGGGGTCCCCGGGGGTGGGGGTCCCCGCGGGGCGCGTGCTCCTGCGTGCAGGGTACGGCGATCGGGGTCCCCGGGGCCGGGGGTGGGGGGTCCCCGCGGGCAGTGTGTGAGCGATCGGGGTCCCGCCGCCGGGGCCCCCCGCTCAGCGCCCCGCCGCTCAGCGCCCCCTCTCGCAGCCGGCACCCCCTGCGACCCGCTGGCGCGGCAGTTCAACACGCTCATCCCCTGGTGCCTGCCGCACACCGGGAACCGCCACAACCACTGGGCCGGGCTGTACGGGCGGCTGGAGTGGGACGGCTTCTTCAGCACCACCGTCACCAACCCCGAGCCCATGGGCAAGCAGGTGCGTCCCGGGGCGCTGGGGGCGCTGGGGACCCAGCACCCGCCCCCCCTCCCCCCCCGCGCTCACCCCGCGCTCACCCCACGCCTGCCTCCACCCAGGGCCGCGTGCTGCACCCCGAGCAGCACCGCGTGGTCAGCGTGCGGGAGTGCGCGCGCTCCCAAGGCTTCCCCGACACCTACCGGCTGTTCGGCAACATCCTGGACCGGCACCGCCAGGTCAGGGCGCGGCGGGGGCTCGGGGCGGGGGCGGGGGCGGGGTGGGCGTGTCTGTCTTGGCGGGGGCGTGGTCACGGCGGGGCGTGCCCGCGGTCTCGGGGGGCGTGGTCACGGAAGGGCTGGTCCACTGGGAACATGGTTGGCGAGGGCGTGGTCACGGCAGGGCGGGGCTGCGCCCTCACGCACCACCTCCCGGCCCCCAGGTGGGGAACGCGGTCCCGCCGCCCCTGGCCAAAGCCATCGGCCTGGAGATCAAGCAGTGCTTGTTGGCCAAGGCTCGAGAGAGCGCCTCAGGTACGCGGGCCGCGCATGCTCGGGTGGCGGGGATCGGGGACCGGGTTCCCGGACCCATGTCGGGGCTGGGGGAGGGGGTCACAGCCCGGCTGCCCTGTGAGCACGGGATCCGTTTCCTGTTCAACTTGCTTGGCAAGTCGCGGACCTTCGCACCTAAGGCCGCCTGGGCTCCTCCGAGCCGGGGCGGCGAGGGCCCGGTCGCGCGTGCGTGGCGGGCCCGTGCTGGGTGGACGCCGTCCCTAGCAAAGCCTCCTCCTCGCCCGCAGCGCAAGTGAAAGAGGAAGAGGAGGAGAAAGCCACCCAGGGCTAGGCCGCCCGGCCGCGTGCCCGTCCTGCCGCCAGGAGCCCGCGCCCGCTGCCGGTGTTGTGCTTTTGACATGTCTGTGTCAGTTGGATGGTGTCCACGCGGCGCCCTGGGCGCCCTGGCGGAGCTGAGTTCTTCCTGTGACTTTCTTTCCCTTCGTTTTTGTTTTTTTGTTTTTTTTTTTTTGCTTCTCCACGACTTAGCAAAGCAGTGATCACCCTCTCAATTTTAAAAAAAGGAACTTTTTTACAATGGCATTATATCCAAGCGACCACTTCCCGGGTGGAAATCAAGACTTTATGTAGTTTTTGTATGTTGTAATATTTCTTCAAATAAATCTCCGATAAAGCATCGAAACTACCGGACTGATTGACTCGGGGCTGAACTGAGCCCCGCTCAGCTAGCTGGCCTTGTGTGGGGCGCGGGTTTTAACTCCTGGGACTTCTGGTTCTGGCCACTGAGGTGCAAATGGAACTTAGAAATGTGGCTTCCGGGATGTTTTTTGCTTTTATTTGGTCTGGAATGGAATTGTGATGCCTGGTGATACAGCAGCTGTCTTGTGACCATGGGGACTGGCAGAGGATCACGGGACAAGAACTCACTGCCGAGCTATGGGCCTCTCCAGCTTAAGACTGTTAGATGAAATTGGGTGCAAGTGGCTTACACCTGTAACCCTAATTCCGTAGGAAGCTGAGATCTGAGGATCAGTTTGAAAGCTAATTGGGATAGGAGAGAGTCTGGAGACCCTTATCTCCAATTAGCCAAAAGTCAAGTGGTGTTGGGGGTCAAAGCGGTAGGAGGACTAACCTTGAGCATAAAGGGCTAAGGGACAGTGCGCAGGCCGTGGGTTCAAATCCCAGGACTGGCAAAGGGGAAAAGGCTTATTTGGGCTTGGCAGTCAACCCAGCTTGACAAGCGCTCTAGATTCTACCACAAACCCTAACTAATGTAGTTCATCTGTGAAAGGATTTACTAGGAAGTGCTTTTAAAAACTGAAGTGGCTGGGAAGGTGGCTCAGTGGTAGAGTGCTCGCCTCGCATGCATGAAGCCCTGGGTTCGATTCCTCAGGACCACATACACAGAAAAAGCTGGAAGTGGTGCTGTGGCTCAAGTGGTAGAGCGCTACCCTTGAGCAAAAGCAGCTCAGGGGCAGCGCCCAGGCCCCAAGTTCAAGCCCCAAGACTGGACAGCAAAATTTTAAAAAGCCACTCCGTGTCAATCACCCAGAAGGCCACAGAAGTGGGAAACGCCCACCCTGGCGGCCGTAGGTGCGCTTCTGTGGGTGACCACTAGAGGGCGCCCTAGCCCCCTGTCCTCAACCGGGCCCTGAGACCCGCGAAGTACCCAAGGGAATGCGGCCTGGAATGAATCCCAGCACGGAGCGGGGTGGAGGATCACAGGCTGGGCCAGCCGGTGGGGCTTCCGGAGCCAAAGCAGCCCAGGGCTTGTGCACTGATCCCCAGTACGTACTTCTATTTATTTTCTATCAGCTCCATCACTGCCCCCCCCTACTTGGTTTCTGGATTTGCTTATCTGAGCTACCTTGGGTGCACCCACACTGTGTTGGTTTTTCTTCTTGGCTTGATTTAAACTTGACACCCTGTGCTCCGGCTTGGCTGGTGCTCTACCATTTGAGCCACAGCTCCACTTCTGGCTTCTGTGTATGTGGTACCTAGAAATCGAACCCAGGGCCTCATGCATACTAGGCAAGTCTACCTCTAAGCCACGTGCCCAGCCCAGGGTTTTACTTTCAAATTGCTCAGTATTGTTTGGTGCTAATAGCTCACACCTGCAATCCTAGCTAGTCAGGAGGCTGAGATCTGAGGATGATGGTTCAAAACCAGCCTGGACAGAAAGGTGTATGAGACTCTAGGCTCCAGTGAACCACTCAAAAGCTTGAATGGAGCTGTGGCTCAAGTGGTAGAGCACTAGCCTTGAGCACAAAAACTCAGGGACAGGTGTGCTCAGCCCTAAGTTCCAGCCCCAGGATCAGCACACAAAAGTAAAAAAAAATAGTTGGATTTAAACAAGGTCATTAAGGTGAGTCCTAATCCAGTGTGACAGGTGTCCTTGGAGGGATTACAGCTGACAAGTACAAAGCTCAAATGTCATGAGGATTCAGAAGAGGTTGCTAAGGAGAGACGCAGAAGACTTGCTTACTGACTCCGAATTCCGCACCGAGGCCTCCAGAACTGCAAGAGAATAAACTTCCCTTTTACCCACTGAGCCTGACTTTTTCTCTTTTTCTAGCTGCAGGGCTGGAATTTGGGGCCTGGTCCCTGTCTTGAGTTCTTTTGCTCAAGGCAAGCCCTCTACCACTTGAGCCACAGCACCACTTCTGGTTTCCTGGTGGCTTATTAGAGATAAGAGTCTCACAGACTTTCCTACCCAGGCTGGCTTTGAACTTCGATCCTCAGCTCTCAGCCTCCTGAGTAGCTAGGATGACAGCTGTGAGCCACTGGTGTCCAGCTCAGGCCCAGGTTTCCTTATGGTCACCATAACTTGGGGTTTACATCACGTGCTTTCGTCCGAGAATACCCGGTGTTCAGTGGTGGATTTCGACACTGCAGCACTTGAATGGACTCTGCCCCGTGATCGGCAGATACTTAGTTCTTGTGATTGCCATCAGCTCTCGCAAACAACTCTTCTTGGACTTTGGGGGTGGGGTGCGGGAGAGGTTGAGAGTTGTTCAGGGTCTTGTTATGTAACCCAGGCTGGCCTTGAATCCAAGTCTTCCTGCCTCTACTCCTGAGTGCTGGGATTACAGGCATGAACTACTGTAACCTGCTGGAATACACAATTTATACATTCCTTTAATATGAGCCTGGGGCTGGTGGCTTACACCTGGAATCCCAGCTTCTCAGGAGGCTGAGATCTGAGGATCATGATTCGAAGCCAACCCCAAGCAGGGAAGTCTCCAATATGCTATGAAAAACTGGAAGTGGAACTGTGGCTCAAGTGATAGAGTGCCAATCTTGAGCCTAAAAGCTCAGGGACAGTGCCTAGACCCTAAGTATAAGCCCAGGATCAGCACACACACAAAAGGTTGAGGGGGCTGGGAAGGTAACTCAGTGGTAGAGCGCTTGCCTTGCATGCCTGAGGCCCTGGGTTTGATTTCTCAGCACCATGTAAGAAAAAAGCCGGGAGTGGCGCTGTGGCTCAAGTGGTAGAGCGCTAGCCTTGAGCTGAAGAGCTGAGGGACAGCGCCCAGGCCCAGAGTTCAGGCCTCACGACTGCCCCCCCCCCCAAAGAAAAAAAGGTTGAAAGTGGAGTGCCTGATCTGAATAATTTCATGTCAAATGGATCATCAGCCACCCTCTGTTTTGTTTTTTTTGCCAGTCCTGGGGCTTGAACTCAGGGCCGGACACTGTCCCTGAGCTGCTTTTTGCTCAAGGCTAGCACTACCGCTTGAGCCACAGCACCACTTCTGGCATTTTCTGCTTACGTGGTGCTGAGGAATCGACCCCAGGGCCTAATGCATGCGAGGCAAGCACTCTACCACTGAGCCACATCCCCAGCCACCCTCTTATCTTTTTTGTTGTCTGTTAGGCTAGAACTTTATATATTTGTAGGGGGAGGGAGGAGGAGCCTGGCAGTGAACCCAGGGCCTTTGCACAAGCTTAGTGCATGCCCTATTACTAAGCCACGCCTCACCCCTGATGTTAAGTCAAGTGACTTCGATAGGTAAAATTAGGCTCATCCAGCCGGGCGCTGGTGGCTCACGCCTGTAATCCTAGCTACTCAGGAGGCTGAGATCTGAGGATCGCGGTTCAAAGCCAGCCCGGGCAGGAGAGACCGTGAGACTCCTATCTCCAATAAACCACCAGAAAACCGGAAGTGGCGCTGTAGCTCAAGTGGTAGAGCGCTCGCCTTGAGCTGAAGAGCTGAGGGACGGCGCCCAGGCCCAGAGTTCAAGCCCCACGACCAACAAAAAAAAAAAAAAAAATTAGGCTCATCCCAGCTGCCAGCCTGGACTATATAAAATGCTGGCTTGAAAGAATGAGAACTGACCACGTGCTGGTGGCTCACCCCTGTCATCTTAGCTACTCAGGAGGCTGAGATCTGAGGATCATGGTTAAACTCAGCCAGGGCAGGAAAAGTCCATGAGACTCTTGTTGGTTGTGGGGCTTGAACTCTGGCCTACGTGGTGCTGTTCCTCAGCTCTTCAGCTCAAGGCAAGTGCTCTACCACTTGAGCCACAGCGCCACTTCCTGCTTTCTGGTGGTTCATTGGAGATAAGAATCTCAGTACCAGGCTGGTACTCAACCATGATCCTCAGATCTCAGCCTCCCAAGTAGGTAGAATGACAGGCGTGAGCCACTGGCACTGGCTTAGGAGACTCTTAATAGCAATAAACTACTCAGAAAAAGCTGGAGGGCTGGAAGTCACAGCTGGAGGGCTGTGACTCAGTGGTAGAGTGCTAGCCTGGAGCCCAGAGAGACGCAAGGACAACACCCAGGCCCTGAGTTCAAGAACAGAAAGTGTGGCTCAGGAGTCGAGTGCTGGCCTGGAACCCATTCCAGGCTAAATGAGAGCATGCAGCCATTAGTTGAAGCCTTGGTACTGGCACAAAAAGAAACGAGAAAGGACAACAACATTTGCTATTTTAGAAGTGACCAGTCATGAAAGAATTGTTCTCTGTGTGTTTATGTGCCAGTCCTGGGGCTCGAACTCAGAACCTAGGTGCTCTTCCTGAGTTTGTTTTTTTTTTTTCTCTGAAGGTTGGTGCTCTACCACTTGAGCCACAGCTCCACTTCTGGCTTTTTGCTAGTGAATTGGAGATAAAGAATCTCACAGCCTTTCCTGCCCAGGCTGACTTTGAACCTTGATCCTCAGATCTCAGCCCCCTCATTAGCTAGGATTGCAGGTGGGAGCCACCCAGGGTGGATTCCTGGAGTCCTAGCGATGGCGAGCTTACGACAAGACCTGCGTCCCTGGCCCGCCTTGCGCAGATGGAGCAAGACTTTGTCTCAGGATGATTTAAAAAAAGTCAGAAAATAGTTTCCGAGCGGTTGAAGGCGTGGCGCAGGCGCCAGCCCATGAGCAGCAGTGTCAGGCGCCGAGTTCGAGTCCTGGGATTCTGGGACAAGTACAGACAGACATACAGAATATATTCTGAGCTGCTCCCGAGCTCCCCACGCTGGGAAGGCGGGCGCCACAGGCTGCGTGTCCGCCTCCTGCCGCCACGGGGCGCGCGCGAGCAGCGCGGCAGGGCCGCTCTGGGCCGCGGCGGCGGCGTCGCCGGAAGTCTCGTTCTCCGCCCACTTCCGCTCTCTCGGCCCTGGCTGGGGCTGCGTGGAGAGGCCTGCACGATGCCGACCGGCGACTTCGAGTGAGCGCGGGGGGCCGCGGGGGGCCTGCAGGGGCGACCTGCGGGTCTGGGGGTGAGTGGCAGGCCCGGGGCTCCCCGGGGCCGGGCCTCGCCCGCCCCAGCCCTTCCTTCGCCCCTCTCTCCGCAGTTCGAAGCCCAGCTGGGCCGACCAGGTGGAGGAGGAGGGAGAGGATGGTGAGTCGCGCCGGCGCCCTGCCGCCTCCGGCTGCCTGCTCGTGCCCGATGATCTGGGGGTCCCCTCCCCTGCGCCCCACGCCGTCCTGGCGCCAACCTGTTGCATTGTCAGCGTCCGGGCCCCTCCCCACCCCCCTTCCCACAGGCCCCTGGAGGAAGGAACTCCTGACACCCCAAGATGGCTTCGTGGCTTGACCCCCCCCTTCATGCATGGGGTCCCCCCAGCCTTGCCCAGTGCTCCAGGTCGCCCCGATCGCTCTCTGTCTCTCTTTCCCCCAGTTCCTGGTGGGGGTGTCAACCCCCACCCCCCACCCCGGGCCCCTCCATTCCCTCCAGCTGACCCCCCCTTCCTCTCCATGGCTGCCCCCGGCAGATAAATGTGTCACCAGCGAGCTTCTCAAAGGGATTCCTCTGGCCACTGGCGACACCAGCCCCGAGCCTGAGCTGGTACCTGGAGGTGAGTGGCTGCCTCCTCACCCCGTCCCCTGGCCTCCGGGGAGCCCTCTCCTCCGGGACTCAGTTTCCCTGCTCTTTTTCAGCACCATTGCCACCTCCGAAGGAGGTCATCAATGGAGACATAAAGACGGTGACGGAGTACAAGATAGACGAGGATGGCAAGAAGTTCAAGGTGAGGCGGGGGCGGCGCTGTGGGGACTCAGGGGTGGACCAGGAAGGGCTGCTGGTCCCAGGAAGCCTGGCCTGTCTTCCTCCCATCCGCAGATCGTCCGCACCTTTAGAATCGAGACCCGGAAGGCGTCCAAAGCCGTTGCAAGAAGGAAGGTGAGACCCTCTTTTGCCTGTTTGTGGGGCTCATCCAGGACTGGGACACAAGAATTGGGAAAGTTTGAGATAGAAGTTCAGCTCACTGTTACAGATGTATTTATTTGTTCATCTTATTTGTTTTCAGTCGCTGATTGGGCTTGAACTCAGGGCCTGAGTGCTGTCCCTGAGCTCTTTTCACTCAAGGCTAGGGCTCTACCACTTTGAGCCACAACACCACTTCTGGCATTTTGTGGTTCTTTGGAAATGGGAGTCTCACGGACTTTCCTGTCCAGGCTAGCTTTGAACCATGATCCTCAGATCTCAGCCTCCTGAGTAGGATTACGGGCATGAGCCACCAAAGCCTGGCCTGGTTGTTTTTATGTTCTTGCGACAAGGTTTTATTATGTAGCCCCCACAGCCTGTGCCTCCCGAGTGCCAGGAGTACAGGCATGCCTCTGAGAGCTGGGCTGTAGTCAAGGCTGGTTTAGATTTTAGTCCTTTTGGCTTGTCTGCTTGGTGAAATAGAACCAAATCTTCCCTTGAGGCAGAGGAAGCAACTTGTATTCACCCACACAGGGCTTCTGGAAGAGTCTCAGTGGCACACATCGTGCCAGGCTTCACACCAGGCATTTGCTGGAGCTGTGACTGGTGACCTCCATAGTGGCCTGGGGTTGGGGTGTAGGGTGAGGGGGACGGATGTAGTCCCTGTTTTCGAGGAGGTAGTGAAGCTGGAATTCCTCAGCTGACTCACCTAGACCCATGCCCTGAGCACTGCCACCTGCACAGTGCCAGAGTTGTTGGCAGGCCGGCCGTTGTGACCTCTGCCCTATTCTAAGTCTCCTTTTTCTAACTTGAAACTTTGTTTTGTTCTGTTTTTGTGTTGGTCCTAAAGCTCAAAGCGAGCTTTTGTGTTCAAGGCTAGTGCTCTACTACTTGAGCCGCAGCTCCAATTCTGGCATTTCGGGTGGCTCACTGGCAGACTTTCCCCGCCCAAGCTGGCTTCCAACCAAGATCCTCACATTTCACCTTCCTGAGTAGTTAGGATGGCAGGCGTGAGCCACCAGCACCCAGCTTCTGACCTGTAACTCTTCCCCACCCCCTCCCCCTCCCTGTCCCTTGCCTGTCCCTGAACCCAGAACTGGAAGAAGTTTGGAAACTCAGAGTTTGACCCTCCAGGGCCCAACGTGGCCACCACCACAGTCAGCGATGACGTCTCCATGACGTTCATCACCAGCAAAGAGGTAAGGGGGGGAGGTGGTGGCTTGGGGGTGGGGCTGTGCGGGGTTGGGGGGGGTGGAGGCGGGGTGGCAGGGTCCCTGAGCCCTCACCCCACACTCCTGCTCCCCACCAGGACCTGAACTGCCAGGAGGAGGAGGACCCGATGAACAAGCTCAAGGGCCAGAAGATCGTGTCCTGCCGCATCTGCAAGGGTGACCACTGGACCACCCGCTGCCCCTACAAGGACACCCTGGGGCCCATGCAGAAGGAGCTGGCCGAGCAGCTGGGCCTGTCCACCGGCGAGAAGGAGAAGCTGCCTGGAGGTGCGTGGCTCTCCGGGGCAGGGTGCCTGTGGCTCTCCTCTCCTGTCCCCCCCCCCCAGGTTGCTGGCCAGCGCCTGGCTCCTGTCTGGTCCCTTGCTGTTGGCTGCGCATGCGCGCTGAGACACAGCAGGACACTGGCCTGGGCCACGGCCTGAGTGCTGCTGGGGACAGTCGTGCCTCTGTTTTGCCACCATTCCTCTGGTGGCTAAGCATTGGGAGTTGAGGGTGCAGTGTGTGGCCTGTCTGCGCATGCGCGCCTGCAGCCCCAGTGGCGGCCTCCGTCCTTAGAGCTGTCTGCTAGCTGCGTTGTGTCACCTGCCATGCTTGGGGACCCGGGCTTCCTGGGGGTCGCGCGGCAGGTGTTGCCCGGGTCATGGCTCTGTGGGATGGGGGGGCGTCTGTCCCGCGGCTCTTGCTCTGCCAGCGAGGGCTCGAGCGCCTCTTCTGTCCTTGGGGTCGCCGGGGTTTGTGGGGCGCCCTGGCCCGGGGGGGCTGAGCGGGCCCTGTGGGGCGTCTGGTTGGCAGAGCTGGAGCCGGTGCAGGCCGCGCAGAACAAGACGGGGAAGTACGTGCCGCCCAGCCTGCGTGACGGGGCCAGCCGCCGCGGGGAGTCCATGCAGCCCAACCGCAGAGGTGAGGCCCGGCGCCCCGGGGCTGGCGGGCACGGGGCGGGGGGGAACCCCAGGCCCGCCCCCCCACCATCACCCCCCCCCCCCCGCAGCCGACGACAACGCCACCATCCGCGTCACCAACCTGTCGGAGGACACGCGGGAGACGGACCTGCAGGAGCTCTTCCGGCCCTTCGGCTCCATCTCCCGCATCTACCTGGCCAAGGACAAGACCACCGGCCAGTCCAAGGTGCGCGGGCCGCCCGGGCCGGGCAGCGGGCGAGCCGGGCAGCGGGCCCGCGCCCGCCCCTCACCCCGCCTCCCCCCGCCCCCTCCAGGGCTTCGCCTTCATCAGCTTCCACCGCCGGGAGGACGCGGCCCGCGCCATCGCCGGGGTGTCCGGCTTCGGCTACGACCACCTCATCCTCAACGTGGAGTGGGCCAAGTAAGCCCCGCCCCGCCCCTTCCGCCGCTGCTCAGCCTATAGCCCGCGTGCCCCGCCCTCTGGCGCCCCCCGCCCCCCCCCCCCCCCCCGCAGGCGCCGCCACGCCCCCTCGCAGTCCCTTCGGCGGCTCCGCCCCTGGCCGTGCGCGCCACGCCTCCGGGCCACGCCCCTCCCGTCAATCTCCTGCCACTGCACGCCTTGAACCTCCCAGCTCTTAACAGCCGCCAAACCTGCTTGTCCCAGATTCCCGGGTCCTTGCCTGGGACGTGGCCCGGCTCCCCCTGTGCCCTTGGTCACCACACTGCCTATTTGGGGTCCACGGAGCCCCGCAATGGGGGAGCTTGAGGGGTTCTGACCCCACATCTCATCCTTCCCTCCTCCAGGCCATCCACCAACTGAGGCACGGCTCCGCTGGACCCTGGATGAGAAAGCCTGCGCACGTGCGGTCACCGAGGGCAGTAAAGAAGGCACAAAGCAGCTTGTGTGTGTTTGGCTTTATTGTGTGGGGGTGCAGGGTGGGGTGGTGTGCCAGTCCTGCTGGGGCTCGAACCCAGAGCCTGGTGTTGTCCTTGAGCTGTTTTGCACGAGGCTGGCGCTTCTGCCGTCTGAGTCACAGCTCCACACTTCGGCTTTCTGGTCATTAATTGGAGATAGTTGTCTCGAGCTTTCCTTTCCCCAGCTGGCTGTGAGCCTTCGTCCTCAGCCTGAGTGGCTGACAGGTGTGGCCTTCCCTGCCCCCGTCCCAGCCCAGGGGTCTGAGCATGGGGTGGGGGGGGTGCTCTGGTTGTCTTGGGGAGGAAGTGGCTGAAGGGCGACGTCAGGGCCCAGGGCCTGTCACCCTGCGGTGTCACTGTCGCAGGGGCCTGTGGTGAGCAGCAGGCTGGGCCGGGCTTCGGGGCTGGCCAGCGCGGGGAGAGGCTGGTCTTGGCCGGGACGCTGGTCCCGCCCCGCCCTGCAGGCTGGGCAGCCCAGGCTGGGCACCACGGCCATGTAGAGCAGCGGGTGGGTGCACATGGCAAGGGGCACCAGGCCCCGCGTCACCTGGAAGCCCAGGTAGGGCCCCAGCTCCAGCGCCCGCACCGCCTGGGCCTCGTCCGCGAAGCTGGGGCAGCGGGCCAGCCAGCGCTGCCGGGCGGCCGCGTTGAGCACGCGCAGGACCAGGTAGGGCACGTAGGAGCTGGCGTACACCGCCACCCCCGCGGCCACCAGCAAGGCCACGCGCAGCTTCTCGGCGGCCGACATGCTGTGGCTGCGCAGCACGGCGCGGCCCAGGGCGCCGAAGGCCAGCAGCGTGAGCAGCAGGGGCAGCGCGCCCCCCAGCGCCGCCAGCGCCAGGCTGTAGGCTCTGAAGGCGGGGAGCTGGCTGGCCGCCCCTGCGCCCAGACACCGGACGCAGGCCTGGGGCCTGGCCGCGCCGCACGCCGCCCGCGCCGGCCCCTCCGGCCCCTCGAGGTGGGCGAAGCCGAGGGAGGGCGCGGCCAGCAGCGCGGCCAGCGCCCAGGCCGAGGCGCTCAGGGCCCACGCGTGCCTGGGCCGCAGGCGGCTGCGGGTGAGGAAGGGGTGCGCCACCCCCAGGTAGCGCGCCAGGCTGATGCAGGTGATGAAGAGGACGCCGCCCAGCAGGTTCCACGCCGACAGGAAGCGCTCCAGGCGGCAGGCCGCCAGCCCGTAGCGCCAGCTCTTGGGCGGGTAGAAGTAGGCGGCCATCGGGGGCAGCGCCAGCGCGGACAGCAGGTTGCTGGCGGCCAGCTGCGCGGAGAACACCACGGCGGGCGGCCACGGCCGCCGCTCCCGGCGGCTGAAGCGGTACAGGGCCAGGCCGTTGCCCGCCACGGCCACCAGGAACTCGGCCACCAGGATGGGCCACAGGTAGGCCTCCTGGAAGCCCGCCAGGTGGCGGGCGGCGGCGGCCGAGAAGTTGGCCGGGCAGGGCCTGGCGCCTGGGGGGACGGGGGACGGCTGAGCCGCGGCGCGCGCCCCGCCAGCCGTGCCCGCTGCCTCGCTTCCTCAATCTGTGGCCCCCGTCACTCGCCCCTCCTTCCTTCCGTGCCCTGCTTCGGTAAAGCTGGGAGGGGGGGCAGTGGCACCGCACCGTGGGAGCCCAAAGCCTGCGGTTACAGCCCGGCAGCGACCGCCCCGGCCCCGGCCGCCCCGCCCCAGGGCCTTGGCACGGCGCTGCTCAACACGGTGCCTTGCTGGGCCTCCCCGCGCCCGCCTCTGGGCCGCTCTACTGCCACTGCCCGCATCCTGGAAGGTTCTATCCAGCCCCTGGTCAACCTGACCTTTGGCCCCACAGCCACCACCCGCCCAGGCGTCCCCACCACGCACGGAGCCCGCCCTCACCTGGGCCTGCGGCTGCCATGGCCCCGCTCTGGTTCCCCGCGCTCGGCTCCAGCCTCGCCGGCAGGGCCGCCCCGCCCCGCCCCGCCCCCGCTTCCTTCCGCATCCTCCCCTACGGCCGGGGGCGGGGCGGCGCACACAGCGGCGCACACAGCGAGCTCCGATCCCCCGGCCCCGGCCCCGGGTTCCCCCAGCTCCCCCGGCCCCGCGTCAGCGGGCGGCGGCGGCGGCAGTGCCCGAGGCGGACGAGCCGGTTCCAGCGTTTATTGGCAGCAGATGAGGGACAGCTCCTTTATGAAAGGAAACCGGGGCGCCCGGGCCCCAATGTGGGGCGTTCCGCCGTGCGGCGGCGCTCGCTCAGGAGCCTCTCCTCGGGGCCCGGCTTCCGCCCCGGCCGGCAGCCTTGGGCCCCGGCCTGGCCCGCGCCCCCCGGGGCTCGGGCGGCCTCCGCGCTGCGCCCCGGCCCGGCCCCGGCCGCCGATGCTGCCGCTGCCGCTTCCCGCCGGGAGGCCCCGGCCGCCTGCGCTTGGCCGCTGTCGGGAACATGTCTGCGGGGAGACGGGGTGGGTCAGGCCCGGGGGCGGCCCGCGGCCCCCCCCCCCCCGCCCGCGCAGGCGCACACCCTCGTCTGGCTCCTCGCCCACGGCCTGGCGGAAGTACTCGGCTTCATCCTCCTCCTCCGCCTCCTCCGGGGGCGCCCCGGGGTCCTCCGCATCGCTGTCGCCGCCGGCCCCCAGCCGGGCCCGCTTCATGCCGGCCAGGCTCTTCTTCCTGGAGGACAGGGCAGGGCAGGGTCAGCCCGCTGCCGGCCCCGCGCCCCGCCCCGCCCCGCGCCCGGCCAAGGACGGACTTGTCGGCCTCGCGGCGCTCGCGCTTGCGCAGCACGTCCTCCGCCTGCTTTTCCCGCCGCTGCGCCTTGAGCCGCAGCTTCTCCTCCTTGGCGGCCAGGATGGCCTGCAGCTCCTCCTCCGTCTTGTGCACTGCCAGGGGGGAGGGCACCGGCTTACGGGGGGTCCCCGCGGCGGGGCGCCGCTCCCCGCCGGGCCCCCCAAGCCCGCCGCGCCTCACCGAAACTGTGGAACAGCACATTGCCAGCGCCCACGCCCTCCTGGATCTTAATGAGCTGCAGGGTCATCCGGGGACCGATCTGGGGGGACAGGAAAATCAGCCCTTATGCAAGGCTGGGGGCAGCGGGGGGGGGGGCAGCCCCACGCCCCCCCTCACCTCCGTGAGGCGCACTGCGCTCTGCTGGGCGCGCATGTTGCCGCGGCCCGCGATGGCCTGGGGCAGCTCCGTGACGTTGTGCTCCCCGTCCGGCTCCGCCTCACTTTCCGACAGCCCAGCACCCCTGCGGGGGGGGGGGGGGGGGACAGGCAGGACTGAGCCGGGCGACCCCGGAGCTGGAGCCCCGGGCACCGCAGCACCCCGCGGCCGCGCCCTGCTCACGTGGCCAGCAGCTCGCTGATGTCCTGCAGGCGGCTCATGTTGGGGAACTTCTCCTGCAGCAGCTTCTTCATCCCGCGGCTGGCGCCCACGGGGACCACTTTGATGCTGCTGCAGGGGGGGGCGGTCAGGGCTGCGATCAGAGGGCACGGCAGACCCCCCCACTCCTCCCCCCCTCCCCACAGTGCGTCAGCGCGTTTACTTTGAGGCTGAGCCATCACGGGGTCTCAGCAGCATCAGCGTCATCAGCCGCACCTCTGGGCCAACCGCACCACTGCCCTGCCCTCCCCCCCCCCCCCAGCAGCACTCACTAATGGCGGAAGTCCAGCTCCTGGGAGTCAGGGTTGTAGTTGATGAGCAGGCAGCGCTTGATGGTGTTCAGGTTCACCTGCAAGGGAAAGGCGGCAGGGCCACGGGAACCAGGGTCAATCAAGCACACACCGGTGAGGGTTCACAGGCGGTGGGGGGGGGGGGGGGGGGAGGCCGGGCCTCTGTGGGCAGTGCCCACTGGTTCTGCACTTTACCAAGGACGCACAGATCAGATTTCTACCAAGCCCCAGCTCGTTACACAGCTAACCCAACACCCACAGTGTCATGGGGTGGAAGCTGGGGCTCCTGACTTCATCACTTGGTAAGAAGCCTCTGAGCTCAAAGCGGGACTGGGTTAAACAACGGAGCCTCAAAACAAAAAACAAGCTCAGTTGGAACCTGGTAGCACATGCCTCTAATCTTAGTTACTCAGGAAAATGGAAAATGAGATCTGAGGATCACGGCTCAAAGCCAGCCTGGGCAGGAAAGTCCGTGAGATTTTTTTTTTTTTTGGGGGGGGGGGGGGGACGGGGGTCCGGTTGTGGGGCCTGAACTCTGGGCCTGGGCGCTATCCCTCAGCATTTCAGCTCAAGGCTAGCGCTCTATCACTTGAGCCCCAGCGCCACTTCTGGCTTTTTTTTTGCTTATGTGGTGGTGAGGAATTGAACCCAGGGCCTCAGGCATTCGAGGCAAGTGCTCTACCACTGAGCCACTGTCCCAGCCCCTCCGTGAGACCTGATACCTCCACCCCACCCTGTGCCCACAAGATGCCTGACCCACCTTGTGCACGTTGATGGAGGGGAACAGGTTCTGGAACATGGTGGCCATGAGCTTCACATGCATGCCGTGGGGGCCGAAGCTGTTGAGGACCAGGAGGGGCGGGTGGGCAAACTGCTGCTCGTGCATGCGGTGCCGGCGCAGCGAGGAGACCACGTCACGCACCAGCGTGTACTGCAGGGCAAGGAGGTGAGTAGGTGACCTGGGCCTAGGGCTGTGTCCCCAAGCCCTCCTTCTCCCCCACTGCTGCTCCTTACCTTATTGACCTGGAAAGTCAGTGTCGGGCCTCCAGGAAGGCGCATCAGCTTCTGCAGGAAAACAGGGGGTGAGTAATGTGGCAGGATCCAGCCGGGTGGCAGGGGCCTGGGCTGTGGGACCACTGTCCCATCTCTTCAGAGCGTTTACTTTGAAGCCAGAATCATGGCAGCTCAGAGGCATAGGGGTTCATCATGAGAGATGGGAGGAGGCCGCCTGGGGATGGGGGGGTGAGGGGTTGGGGGAGGAGTTAGTGGGGAAACAAAACATGAAGAGAGCCCACTCACAAAGTATACGCTGGTGTCCGTTTTGCTCAAAATCAGGAAGTGTGTGACCCCCAGGGGCCCGGCCACTGCCACACAGTCCTTCAGGGAATTTTTCTTGCGAACCTACACGTTGTGAAAAAGGGAAAGGGATCAATACTGAGCAGATCCCACATCGAGCAGAGGTCATTTCAGATGGGAACCGCGACACTCCGCGTCTCCTGAGTAACTAATAACATGGAGCCGCGGGGGCCGGGCTCCACGGCTAATTCAGGCTCTTCCTGGGAGAGAACTTCGTAGCGCGCGTGGAGCAGATCCCAGGCTGGACGCAGGGAAGGAGCCATCCCGGAGCCCCTCTCCCCGCGGCCCTGCCTCCGGGGCTCCGGGGCCCCTCTCCCCGCGGCCTCTCCCGCTCCCCGCGGCCTCTCCCCGCGGCCTCTCCCGCTCCCCGCGGCCTCTCCCGCTCCCCCCGGCCTCTCCCCGCGGCCTCTCCCGCTCCCCGCGGCCCGCGCACCTGCAGGCGGCTGGCGGTGAGCGGCTCCACGACGCGCCGCAGGTCCAGGCTGAGCTGCCGCACGCCGCGGCCCGCGCGGCCCCGGGTGAACACGAACGAGTGCGGCTGCGCGGCGTAGGCCTCGAGGTTGCGCTGCTGCGCCTGGGCGCGCGCGCGCTTCTGGTGCCGGGACTGCGGAGACGGACAGAGCCGGGGGACAGACGCGGGTGAGCCGGCGGGGACCCCGCCCCACGCCCCCTCCCCCAGCCCGGGAGCCCGGACTCACCTTCCCCGACTGCCCCATGCTGCCTTCTCCTCCACGAGGCCGCTTCCGCGACCGCTTCCGGCGCCGGGAGGCTCGCTTCCGGCGCCCTTCCGGTGACGTCACCGCGCGCGCGCGCGGGGCGGGGCGGGGGAAGGAGGGAAATCGATGGGAAGCGTTGCTATGGAGATGGTGGGCGTGCCTGTTTCTAAGGAAACCGGGGCGGGGCTCTGCTGCCAGAGACGGTCAGAGAATCTGGTACACGGGTTCGAATCCCTCCTCGGTCCATTTCCTCCAGCTCTACCATTGAAAAACTTTTTTAGTTCTTGGCCAATTCAGGGCTTGAACCAAGAGCCTGGGCACGGTCCTTGAACCTGTGTGTGCTCAAAGTTAGTGCTCTACCATTTGAGCCACAGCACCCCTTCCAGGGTTTTTGTTGTTGTTGTTGTTTTGAGTGGTTCATTGGGGATCAGAGTCTCACAAGAGCTTTTTCTGCCCGGGCTGGCTTTGAGGAGGGTCCAGTCGTGGTCCTGAACTCTGGGCCTGGGCGCTGTCCCTCAGCTCTTCAGCTCAAGGCTAGCGCTCTACCACTTGAGCCACAGCGCCACTTCTGGCTTTTTCTGCTTATGTGGTGCTGAGGAATTGAACCCAGGGCCTCGAGCATGCAAGGCAAGCGCTCTACCACTGAGCCACCCCCAGGGCTGGCTTTGAACCATGATCCTCAGACCTCAGCCTCCTGGGTAGCTAGGACTATAGGCCTGAGTCACTGGCGCCCAGCTGAAACTGTTTTTTACCTGCTAAATTTTTATTTTTCCTGATGAAACTCCGTCACTCTTCCTAACAGCTCCGCACTCCCACTCCAAAACAATTTCAACAGGCCTCACGTCCTAGTTTCTTTTTTTTTTGGGTCCGGTCGTGGGGCCTGAACTCTGGGCCTGGGCGCTGTCCCTCAGCTCTTCAGCTCAAGGCTAGCACTCTACCACTTGAGCCACAGCGCCACTTCTGGCTTTTTTTCTTTTTGCTTATGTGGTGCTGAGGAATTGAACCCAGGGCCTTGAGCATGCAAGGCAAGCGCTCTACCACTGAGCCACCTTACGTCCTATTTTCACGTCATATTCATTCCTGTACCTCTTCATTGCTAGCTCCTCCCTCCAGCCTATTTTACTTTGTCATTCTGTGTGTGTGTGTGTACGAGTGCGCGTGCACTATCTCCTGTCCTTGAACTTTTTGTTCTTTTTTTCCCTTTTCTTTTTCATTCCTTCTTTTTTCTCTTTCTTTTTCTGATCAAGGCTAGTTAGTACTCTACAACTTGAGAAACACCTCTACTTCTGGGTTTTTGGTGGTTAGAGATTGGTCTCAGTGGCGCTGTGGTTCAAAGTGGTAGAGTGCTGGCCTTCAGCAAAGACAGCTCTGGGACACGGCCCAGGCCCTGAGTTCAAGCCCCATGACCAAAAAGATAATAAAAAATAAAAATAGCAGATGTATGAGCCAGCACTGGTGGCTCATGCCTGTAAATCCTAGGTACTCAGGAAAGTGAGATCTGAGAATCACAGTTTGAAACCAGCCCAGGCAGGAAAGTACCTGAGACTCAGGCAGGAAAGTACCTGAGACTCTTATCTCTAACCATATAAAAACTGGAAGTGATAAGGGCTCAAAGTAGTAGTGTATTAGCCTTAAGCTTTTGAAAAAGCTCAGGGACAGTGCCCAGGCCCTGAGTTCAAGCCCCAGGACCAACAACAACAAAAATAGTCTCATAAACTTTCCCACCCTGACTGGCTTTGACTTGTGATCCTTAGATCTCAGCCTCCTGAGTAGTTAGGATTACAGGTGTGAGCCACCAACCAGTCCATCACTTTTTTTTTTGGTCACAGGTCTTGAACTCAGGGCTTGGTTGCTGTCCCTGAACTTTTTCACTCAAGGCTAGTGCTCTATGACTAAGCCACAGTACCACTTCTGGTTTTCTGGTGGTTAATTGGAGATAAGAGTCTTGTGGACTTTCCTGGCTGAGCTGGCTTTGTACTGTGATCCTTAGATCTCAGCCTCTGTGTAGCTAGAATTTCTATTATTATTAGTAGTAGTAGTAGTCAGTCGTTGGCTTGAACTCTGGGCCTGGGCTCTGTCCCTCAGTTCTTCAGCTCAAGGTGAGCGCTGTACCACTTGAGCCACAGTGTCACTTCCAGCTTTTTCTGCTTTATGTGGTGTTGAGGAATCCAACCCAGGGCCTCAAGCATGCGAGGCAAGCACTCTACCACTGAGCCACTTTCCTGGCTCCTATATTATTTTTTGTAAGTGCCCACCGCACCAAGGTTTTTTACATGGCATTTCAGATATGCATGTACCATATTTCCCGCAGAAATAACCTACCCAGCTCTCTCTCTGTCTCTGAGATGACGCCTCTCTATTAGCTTGTACTGGCTTGGCTTTGAATATGAACTCACCATCCTTCTGCCTCTGCTTCTGCCGTTTTGTGGCTTGGAGGCTGATAACAAAACCCATATTGTGGGGGTGTCTCCATGACTTTATTTATTTGCAAATAAAGAGACCAAAAGGCAATGCTCAATGCAGCCAGATACAGACCAGACGGGGCCTGAAGCCACTGCCTCTTTTTCCTCTTCTGTCCAGGGCCCTGTCTGTTCATGAGGCGAGACATGGAAAGTCCACATCACCTCCTGGCAACTCTGGGCAAGCCAGACACTCGGTGAATAACTCACCTCCTCTTTCTTTCCACTCCAAGCCCCTGACTTGGCCTCAAGATGGTTGGCTTCCTCCCCAAAACCTTGTGGTGGGGGGAGAGGAGGTGGGGGAGGGACACCCCTCGCTGGGTTGAACATCTCTATCCCCTCCCACCAGTCCCCCCTCCACCATGCGTTCTCCCCAATTCCCTCTCCTCTCCTCCAGTTCTACCTCTCTGCCCCCTCCCTGTCTGAAACTCCCCCCCTCCCCAATTTCACCCATCATCCTTTTCATCTGCTGCAAGCTGACATCGCCCTCTGGTCCCTGTCCCCATCCACCCAGCTCCCAGGCTCTCCTGGCAGATCTCTATGTCCCCCATCTCTCCTTTCTCTGCCAATGAGGAAGCCGGAGGGGGCTGGGAAGGGGGCTGAAGGGGGGGAGGCCCGCCTCAGGCCTGAAGCCCAGCCTGGCAGCCTTTCTCCCCTCAAATCCGGGACGACCATTTCCTCTCTGAGCCCTGGAGTGCACTCGGGTTACTCCCCAGTTCAAGACGGTGGAAAGGAGGAGGAAGGACTAGCGCCTGAGCTCAGCAGCTCCTCACACAGGTTGGGGAACCTGGCTTTGGCCTTGGGGACGGGGTGGGGGACCAGGGGTTCTGCATGATCGGTGAGAAATGGGCCGCAGGAGTCTTCCTTCCCGTTCCGTCCCTGTGGGCTGAGCCTGGTGGGACTCTGTGGCCGGGTGTGTGAAAGAAAGATATCTGGAACAAGCAGCCAGGGGCTGATGGGTGTTGCTGGGTGTGTGGATCACCGATCGTAAGTGTGCAACACAGATCTAGACGCTCGAACCGTGGAGTATCTCCAAGTTGGACTCCGTGTGTGTGTGTGTGTGTGTGTGTGTGTGTGTGTGTGTGGTATTTTTCTCTTAAATATTGAGGTGTCCTATGGAGGGTTGCCATGATGTTCTTCATTGCTCCTGAATGCGTATCACGCTTCCGTTTGTGTGTGTGTGGGGGGGGGGGGTTTGCTGGGCATAGATGCCACAGGCCTGCAACAACTCTTCTTGGAGCCACGCCCCTACCTTCAAGCCACGCCCCACTAGGGAGCCACGCCCACCAGTCCTTTGCCCCACCAAGTAGCTGCACCTCCCACTCTAGCCCCGCCCATACCTCCAAGCCCCGCCCCGGGCCCCGCCCACTCTGTTTTTGTGCCCATGTGACCACACCTCCTATTACTTTAGCCCCGCCCTGCATCTGAGCCAGGCCCACCCCCCTCCCATGTCCTATCACATAGCTGCACCTACGATTTTAGCCACGCCCACCCCTGAACCACGCCCACCCGTTCTACACTTGCAGCTACATCTTACTTGAGCCACGCCCACTTCTGCTTTCTGCCCACCAGGTAGCCACACCTCCCGTTCTTTGAGCCACGCCCCTACCATCAGTCCCGTCCTGTCCTGATCTATGCCCCCCATGTAGGTGTACCGCCTACTACCCTAGCCACGCCCCACATTTGAGCCACACCCACAACCAGCTTGGGCTCCTCCACTACTTTTGCCCTGCTTCTCCATCTAGCCGCACCCCTACCACTGAGCCCTGCATGCAACCTCCTGAATGTGTCTTCCTGTCTGTTACTTTGTGCATTCAGGAGCCAAGCTCCCTGGAATGAATTCTGTCACCTCTCTTTCTGGCTGTGTGACCCATAGTCAAGTCGTTCACCCTCTCTGAACTTTAGTTATGAAAAAAGGTGTACAGGTTACTGAGACCTGCCACGCAGCAGGTGCCTGGTGAAGGTCCCCATCGCTGGTCCCCCTGTGTGTGCTGTGGGTGTGGGGGAGTCTAGGCTCCTAACTGCCTGATTCTCTGCCTTCTGCTAGGAGGAAAAGAAGCGAAAGAGGCATCCGGGGCAGTGACCTGTCTTATCAGGCTCTGGAGCCCTGGGTTGGGAGAGTCTGGCAGCTGGGCCTCAGTTCTCATGGAGGAAATGCTAAATATTTACAATTGCTGCGCTGGGTTGGGGGTGGGGGGTTCTCAGCCCTCTTGCTCCTTCTCTCTTACCCGCCTCAGCCATTCCCCAGCTCAGAGGTGCTCCTGGACCCTCCGCTCTTCCTGGGACTTCCTGCGTCTGCAGAGAACCTCGCTGGATCATGGCGGGTCTCGGTGGTGAGAGGTGAGGGAGAGGGGCCCAGGAGGAGGTGGGGGGCAGATCCCTGATCCTGGCAGGCCGCGTGAGTTTGAATGTGGCAGCATCTGGGGCTGATGGGTGCATGCGAGTTCCAAGTGTCGGGAAGCATAGACAGGGGGGCTGGGCATAGTGGTGCATGCCTGTAGCCACAGCCACACCATCAGGAGGCAGAGGCAAAGAGGATCTTGAGTTCCAGGACAGTCGGGGGTGGGGGTTCCCATCGTGAGACCCCTCCATCTCAAATATAAAAAGATGAGCTCTTCCATGGCTTGTGGGAGGCCCTGCGTCCCATCCATCAGAAAATAAATGTCTAGGGAGAATGTTCCAGACTCAGGAAACCAACAAAGGTCTGGGAAGGCAGAGCCAGCGGACCAGGCCAACACGGGCACCAGAAGGTTCTGAGCAGAGGGGTGTGCGGGGCCTTAGAGGCGCTCACAGGCCGCCGGGCGGCTATGGCGGTGGCGGTGGTGGGGACTAGGCCGAGGCTGCGGTCAAAAGGTTGGAAACCAGGGAGGCATCAGCTGTAAGGAGATCCGGATGGCGCCTGGAGCAAGGGAGAGAGAGAGGGAGGGGTGGGGTGGGGGAAGAGGGGGGAATCGGGGTCTAACCAGGAGAGGGGCCTGGGGGGGGGGGGGTTAGATCTGCTGGGGCAAGAAGATGGCAGAAGCGGAGGGGGGGTCACGCCTCTCATCTTAGCCGCTCCCAGGACACTGGGATCTGAGAGGATCCTGGTTCGAAGCCAGCCCGGGGAAGGAAAAATCCAATGAACCACCAGTAAAAGACGGAAGGAGAGCCGTGGTTCAAGTGGGGGGGAAGCAAAAGAGCTCGGGGACCAGCGCCCAGGCCCCGAGTTCGAGCCCCAGCACTGACACCTCCTCCCCCAAAGCTTGATGAATTTAGCCCCGGGCAGCCAGAGGACTAAAAGACCAGGGCAGGGTCCCCGTAAGAGGACGGGGAGGCGCCTCACCAGGGCATCCCCCGCGTGTGGGCGCAGATGGGGGGCTGCAGGCGGACGTCGGGGTACCACCCCCCTCCCTCTCTGCCTGCAGGCTGGCCGTGTGCACGCTCCTCCGGCTGCAGCTGCTGCTCGCGCTGGGCGCGTGGTGCGCGCGGGCGAGCGCCCCGCGCTGCAGCTACACCTTCGTGCTGCCCGCGCACAAGTTCACGGGCGCCGTGTGCTGGAGCGGAGGCCCGGCCCCCGCGCGCCCGGCGGCCGAGGCCGCCAACGCCGGCGAGCTGGCCGCGCTGCGCGTGCGCCTGGGGCGCCACGAGGAGCAGCTGCGCGAGCTGCAGCGATTGGCCGCCGCCGACGGCGCCGTGGCCGGCGAGGTGCGCGCGCTGCGCAAGGAGAGCCGCGGCCTGAGCGCGCGCCTGGGCCAGCTGCGCGCGCAGCTGCAGGACGAGGCGGCGCCGGGGGCGGGGCCGACGGCGTCGGGGGCGGAGCCCGGGGCGGAGCCTGCCGCCGCGCTGGAGCTGCTCGGCGAGCGCGTGCTCAATGCCTCGGCCGAGGCGCAGCGCGCCGCCGCGCGCTTCCACCTGCTGGACGCCCGCTTCCGGGAGCTGGCCCAGCTGGTGAGCCGGCAGGGCGGCCTCATCGCCCGCCTGGAGCGCCTGTGCCCCGCGGGCGCCGCCGCGCAGCAGCAGGTAAGCGCCTGGAGCCTTTCCTGGGAGCCGGCCACGGGGGCAGCCAGACCCCTGTCCATTATCCGCAATTCCAAAATCCGAAAGAGAAGTAAATGCATAAATGTAAATATGAACTGTCTGCACACATATGTGCGGACATGGTCTATGTAATATAGAGTACAATGGTAGATGATATGGCATACAAACACACCTATATAATACATAAATACATAAGTACATATATAACTAATATATACATACATGTCATATATACTATAACATATATAACCACAGCATATGTAAATATATATGTACATATGTAATATGTAACTATAGTATAAACATAGTATACAATATGTAATATATAAATATCAATATAGCACATATGTGGTATATAGTGTAATTATATGAATATAGTATATATAAAATATAGTGTATATAAATATATAAACATATAGTATATATAAATATATGGTATATATAAGTAGTATATAGTATATACATAGTGTATATAAATATATATTTATATGTATAGTATGTATACTTATAAATACATATATAACTATATATAAATGTAACGCATATTACATATAATACAATAACAAATATATAAGTATATATGTATATATGTACTTGTATATATGTACATATGTGTATATATATGTATATGTATACATATATATATATATATGAGCGGCTTCTTGATGTAAATATTCAGGCATATTATTATCACCACCACAGAAAGTCCAAGGAGTGTCTCTTTGTGCCTTGTTAAACGGCGTTGTGGAACTCAAGGCCTCTGCGTACTTACTTGCTGAGCTTTGCTCAGTTTGTGGGTAGACAGGAACACCAGTCAAGATTTTAATGGTGCTCTGCCGCTGGAGCCACACCTCCAGCCCTGCTTTTTGCTGGTTACTTTGGAGATGGGATATTTTTTTCTTTTCCTTTTTTTTTTCTGGTCCTGGGGCTTGAACTCTGGGCCTGGGCGCTGTCCCTCAACTCTTCAGCTCAAGGCTAGTGCTCTACCACTTGAGCCACAGAGCCACTTCTGGTTTTCTGGTGGTTTATTGGAGATGAGTCTCATGGACTTTCCTGCCTGGGCTGGCTTTGAACCACGATCCTCAGATCTCAGCCTCCTGAGTAACTAAGATGACAGGCGTGAGCCACAGGCGCCCGACAGGATTTTTTCTGTTCTATTCTGTAACATGATTCTCCAGGTTTTTGGGGTTCCCCTCCTTTCTTCCTGCAGTGCCAGGGCTGGAACCTAGCACCTCGAACATGCTAGGCCACTGTTCTACCATACAGCCGCACCTCACCCCTGTTCCTAACTTTCGGGTTCGAGATTGTTGTGCTGTTGGTCCTTACTTACGTTAAGGAGTAGGTGAGGGAGAATTTGGTAAGTTAATAGTCAACGCTGGATGAGGTCTCCTAGTATTCCTATTTGAAGAGAGGGAAACTGAGGCAGAGGCCAGTTAAGCTCTGAGCACCAGATCAGGCATGTTAGTTCAGGGCCCCCGAGACGCAGCCTCTGGCACCGAGGCGGATTCCAGTCTGGCTTTCTTCCTTACCCCAGGTCCTGCCGCCACCCCTGGTGCCTGTGGTACCCCTGAGTCTCGTGGGCAGTACCAATAACCTCAGCAGGAGAGAAGACAGTCTGAGACTGCAGGGACCCCCAGCCTCTCCCATGCCCGCAGGGAACCCTGCTGCCCCCACCAGACCAGCAGGTAACATGGGGGGGGGGGGGGCGTTGGGGAGTGTCTAGAGACTTCTGGGAGATTCCTAGACTTCACTGTGGGTAGGAAGAAATGGAAGTCCGAATTTTAAGGGGAGGTTCCACTCATCATGAGAGGATTTGAGGAAATGAGCCTCTTATTTTAATGGGGGGACAAAAAGATGGCACTCTTATTCTGATAAAAAGGGGGAAAAAATAAACAGACCAGGCTGGTAATACAGCACCGTGGTAGAGTGCCTGTACACAAGGCCTTGGCTCCATCTTCATTACCACATATGCGCGTGCGCGCACACACACACACACACACACACACACACACACACAGCTAAGCTCTCTGCGTCTACACCAGTACTGGGGTTTGAACTCAGGCCCTTGCACTCACTTGGCTTTTCCCACCAGCCGGCACTTTATCTCTTGGGCCACGCCTCTGGATCCAGCTTTTGTTTTTGCTGTTAAATGGGTTTTTTTTTTCCTGTTTGGGCTAGTTTCAAATTTTGATCCTCAGATCTCCAGACTCTTGAATAGCTAGGACTTCAGGTGAGTGGTACAAGTCACCCAACAAAGATCAGACTTGTTTCTAGGGTGTGAATAGTTTAAAAAAAAAAAAAGAATTCGAGGAGTCAATCTTATTTCGGCGAGGGCACAGAAGATTTAGGACTGCTACTCTGGTGAGTTGGTTCAGAGAGGACTTCTACTCTGGTAAGGAGACCCCAGATGTCGTTTGAGAATCCCAGACTTCCTATTTGCCCTGGTGAGAGAAGAGAGACTGGAAGATCTTCCTTAGGTTAGGAAATGGCTGCTGGTGCTCTTATTTAGGGTGAGGGATGTGAAGAGACAGTACTCTTATTTGGATGAGGGGATCAATACATCCTGAATTCTAATTCCAACAAGGGAATGGTTGGTCCCGGTGTCCTGACATACCGCCAACTCTGTGTCCATAGGTCCCTGGCGTGACTGCGCAGAGGCCCACGAGGCCGGACACAGGCAGAGCAGAGTGTACGAGCTCCGGCCGGGCCGCCACGGGTTTGCAGCGTGGTGTGAGCAGCAGCTGGAGGGTGGCGGGTGGACGGTGATCCAGCGCAGGCAGGATGGCTCCGTCAACTTCTTCACTACCTGGCAGCACTACAAGGTGGGCTTTGGGCGGCCTGATGGGGAATACTGGCTGGGCCTCGAGCCCATCTATCAGCTGACCAGCCGCGGGGACCACGAGCTCCTGGTGCTGCTGGAGGACTGGGGGGGGCGTGGGGCTCGCGCCCACTACGACAGCTTCTCCCTGGAACCCGAGAGCGACCACTACCGCCTGCGGCTGGGCCAGTACCGGGGCGATGCCGGGGACTCGCTTTCCTGGCACAATGACAAACCCTTCAGCACCGTGGATAGAGACCGAGACTCCTATTCTGGTAAGGAGGACTTTTATTCTGGTGGGAGGGCGGGGGAGGTGGGGCTTACTCTGGTGGGGGAAAATGAAGAGCAGTGGGGAGCCAGGGACCTTGTAAGATGAAGGACTGGGAGTCCAGGTTCACACCAGAAAGCCGGAAGTGGTGCAGTGGCTCAAGTGGTAGAGTTCTAGCCTTGAGCAAAAAAAAAAAAAAAGCTCAGGGCCAGTTCTCAGGCCCCGAGTTCAAGCCCCACCTCGGGGGCTGGAGTATCCACATCTACATGTCTGTATATTCATATAGTGCGTGAGTACTTTGGGTTTGAACTCAATATCTGGGCGCTGTTCCGAAGGTTCCCCCCCCCCACTCAAGGCTAGCTCTCTAGGAAGTGGTGCGAAATTTAATTTCCCTAACGAACAGTGAAGGACTCCCCTACTCCGCAGAAAAGGTGGGAAGAGGGCATGACTCAGGTGAAGAGAGGGAACATGAAAGCTGGTACGCTGAAGGAAAAAGTGGGCCACGAGGGCTTTTATTTTGGTGAGGAGATGGAGGGAGACCAGGCTTCATCAGGTTGCAAACTGGGGGGGGGGGGGAGGGAAGGAGGGGAATGGGGGAGGTCGGGCTAAGAAAAGCCTTTGCCCCCCTGAAAGTGCTAGGAAGCGGGCTTGTATTCTGGTGGGAGAACACGGCCTCTCTCTGCCCCTCCAGGTAACTGCGCCCTGTACCAGCGCGGGGGCTGGTGGTACCACGCGTGCGCGCACTCCAACCTCAACGGCGTGTGGCACCGGGGCGGCCACTACCGCAGCCGCTACCAGGACGGCGTGTACTGGGCCGCGTTCCGCGGAGGGGCCTACTCGCTCCGCAAGGCCGCCATGCTCCTCCGGCCCGCGGGGCCGTGACGCCGCGGCGGGGGCTGTGCGTGTGGTGGGGGGACCCGGCCCCGCCGTCCCGGCCACCCGGCCGCCGTCCCTTTTGTGTGAGTTAGCAAAAGAGGAAAAAAAAAAAAGAGACGAAAACCCACCAAAAATAAAAGGGGGGCCGGGCGCCCCGGCTCGGACGGCGCCCGCGGTCCCGGCTGAGCGCGGATCTGTGTCCGTGGGGAGCGCGAGGCGGAGGAGCGCGCGCGGGGTCACCGGCGTGGGGTCACCGGCGGGGTCAGGCGCGCGCGCCCCCGCCCGCCCCCCCCTCCCCGCCCCCCTCCCCCTCCCCCTCCCCCTCCTCCTCCTCCTCCTGCAGGTCCTCCAGGATGAGGCGGTCCAGGTCGTCCAGCAGCCCGCCCTGGCTCAGGCAGGTGGCCACGGTGGAGCCGCTGCTGACGTGCGGGGCGCTGGGGTGCAGGACTTTGGGCAGATGGTTCTGTTTGCGGCTCTTGGGGTGCGCGCACGACGTCCCGGGCACGTGGGGCTCTGCGGGGGCGCGAGGCGGGGGGGGGGGGGGTCAGGGCGGGCGGGCGGGGGGGGGGCCGGGGGGGGTCAGGGCGGGCCGGGGGCGCGAGGCGGGGGGGGGGGTCAGGGCGGGGGGGCCGGGGGGGGACGGGGGGGGTCAGGGCGGGCCGGGGGGGGCCGGGGGGGGGTCAGGGCGGGCGGGCGGGGGGGGGTCGGGTCAGGGCGGGGGGGGGTCAGGGCGGGGGGGCCGGGGGGGGACGGGGGGGTCAGGGCGGGCCGGGGGGGGACGGGGGGGGTCAGGGCGGGCCGGGGGCGCGAGGCGGGGGGGGGTCAGGGCGGGCCGGGGGGGGCCGGGGGGGGGTCAGGGCGGGCGGGCGGGGGGGGGGGTCAGGGGCGGGCGAGGCCGGGGGGGGGGGGGGTCGGGTCGGGGCGGGGGTCGGCGCGGCCCAGGAGGCTGCGGGCTGAGGATCGCGGTGCGAGGCCAGCCTGGGCAGGAACCTCGCGGGACTCTGATCCCCAACGAACCCTCAGAAAGCCAGAAGGGGCGCCGCGGCCCAGGGGGCAGAGCGCCGGGGCCGGGCCCGCCCACACCGCAGGGCTGGCGGCAGACGCGGGCCGGGGGTTGGGGGCCGGGGGCCGGGGGGCCGGGGATTGGGGGGCCGGGGGTCGGGGGTCGGGCCCGGGCGCGCGGGCGGGCGAGGCGGCCTCCGAGGCCTCGGAGGCCGTGCAACGGGCCGGCCGCAGTGTGGCGGCTGTCCTTTTTGTTTTGGGGCCTGAACTCGGGGCCTGGGCGCTGTCCCGGCTCCTCAGCTCGAGGCCGGCGCTACCAGAGCCGCCTTCCCAGCCCCCTGCCCTTGAAGGCCCGGACACAGGATCCCCCAGCAGGGACCACCGCAGGCCTCCCCTCCGGGCCTGGCCTCCCCTCCACAGCCCCCCCTCTTGCCCCCGTGGCCTCCCCGCGGCCTCACCTCTCCAGCCCAGCCTTCCCTCCCTGGGCAGGGCCTCCCCTCCCTGGCCTCCCTGAGTCTAGCCTCCCCTCCCCGGCCTCCGCTCCCCGGGCCTCACCTCTCCGGTTGTAGCAGTCCGCCGCCGAGCAGGAGTGCGTGTGCGAGCTCCGCCGGTCCATGTTCCGGTCCCAGCGCGGGGGTAGGATCCGCGTTGGATACACGGGGAAGCCACACCCGTAGCAGGGGGACGGGGACCCCATTTGTGCCCAGCCCCTGGGGGGCGGGCAGGGCGGTGAGGGCCGAGGGGGGCGGGCGGGTGCGAGGCGGGGAGGGGGCGGGTGGGAGGGCGGGGCCTGGAGGTGGGCGTGGCAGGCGGGCGGGGCCTGGAGGTGGGCGTGGTCGGGCGGTGGGCGGGGCTCGGGTGGGCGGGGTCCGCGCCCTCACCGGAAGTTGTGCCGACACTTGGGACAGTGGAACTCGGCCAGGCCCCACATCTTGTCCGGTGGCACCGGATCGTAGCGCTTGCGACACTTGCGGCATCTGGAGACCTGGGGTGGGGATCGGGGTGCTCGTGGCTGGTGTCTGGGGTCCTGCTTGGGCTGCCCACCCCCACCTTCCGTAAAGATCGACCCCACCACACCGGGGCTGCGCCCCGCTCCCTGCCAAGGACGAGCTAGACATTGACCCGAAGCACACTCACTGGTCGGGTTCAGAGGCCAGATTGGGCGTGTGGGTGTCAGGTGTGATTTCTGACCATCAAAGGCCAGGGCACAGAGTTTGGCTTCCCAAGTAAGTGGAAGGCACACGCAGCCGAGGGTCAGGGGTGGGCTCGGGTGGGGGTCAGGGGTCAGGGGTCGTGTGGATGGGTGGGGGTGGGGACTGAAGGTCAGCCTTGGAGCAGGACTTCGTGTTTGCTAGGCAGCACTGGGCTTGGCCTTCAGCCCACACGGCCCCGGCCTTGTTTGCTTTAGTTATCCTTCAAATAGGATCTTGCCATTTCTTTCTCTTTAACCCCTGGCCAGCTATACACGTGTGTTCACCTGCACACCTGGGGTTATACAGGAGTGAGATGCCACACTGGGCTCACTGGTTGCCATGGGGTCTCTTGAATTTTTTCCCCCCTCAAGCTGGCCTACGCCCTGACACCTTCCCAAATGGCTCATCCCCCAGAGGTGTCAGGCTGGGAGCTGTCACCTCCTTCCGCTGGGGTACGCGGCGCCACCAAACATCATCACAGGAGGAGCAGGCGAACTGCCGGTCCACGGCGGGGATGAGGTCGTCCTGGGCGCGCTGGAACATGCGCAGATTGGCTTCCGTCAGCGGCAGGAGGGACGTGGCCACTGCCTGCGGGAAGGGGAGGGGGGGATGAGGGGGGGGGGTCACCCCCTCAATCCACCACACACACCCCTTTCTGAGTTGGCACTCTGGCCACCCCAGCACCAATACCCACACACCTGGATGTCCCGGTCCTGCTTCATGTCCTCTGGTGGGTCCTGGGGGCAGAGAATGTGGAGTCAGCTTGTGTGTGCGTGCGTGTGCCAGGGCTGGCACTTGAACTTAAGGCCCAGGCAACTGTTCCTGAGCTTTTTTTTAATTTTGCTCAAGACTGATACTCTACCACTTGACCCACATTTGCCTGTTCACTGGAGATAAGCACCTCTCAGGTGGCCAGCCTGGGCTGGCTTTGAACTGTGATCCTTGGATCTCAGCCTCCTGAGTAGTTTACAGGCGTGAGCCACAGAGGCTGGCTTGGAGATGGTTTTCTGATCTGTTTCCCAAAAGAAGGATCCTCTGCAAGGAAGGCTGGTGGGGCTCCCAATGGGGAGACGGGGCCCTAGCTAGCTCCCTCTGAAATGGATGGACCCCAAACCACCAGGAGCTCCCCCCTTCTCCCAAAGAACAGGACTTGCTTCTGACCCCAGCCATCCAAACAGCCCTGAGAGGTGGGCACCAGGTACCCCATTTCTGAATCTGAGATCTCCCTGATGTTGGGCAGCTGCACCCCATTTTCCCCTCTGGCTAAGCCCACATGTGACACACGTCTTGGGAGCTTTCTGCTTTTAGCTGAGGGCTGGGATGTGGAATCAGGCTGACCAGGTTCCAATCCCAGCTCTGATCACCTCCTGCCTCAGGAAGTGACCTGGGCCTCAGTTTCCCAGTCTGCATGAGTGTGTCCTGGGGTGGAAACCAAACAGTTTACCCAGAGTCCCAGCAAACTGTGACAGTGCTCAGTCAATGCTTTCTTTGGTCCTTTTTGTGTGTGCTAGTACTGGGGCTTGAACTCAGGACCTCAATCTCTCATTTGGATTTTTTTTAATCCCCATGCAAGGCTGGCGCTCTACCGCTTGAGCCACAGTTCCACTTCTGACTTATTTTTGCTGGTTTCGTCTCACACTTTCCTATGCAGCCTGGCTTTGAACTGTGATCCTCAGATCTCAGTCTCCTGAGTAGCTAGGATTAGAGATGTGAGCCACTGGAGCCCAGTCTGTTTTTACAATCTTATTCTAACACATACTTGATCATATTCTTTATTTTTATTTTTTGTCCGTCTTGGGGCTTGAACCCAGGGCCTGGGCGCTGTCCCTGAAGTCTATTGCTCGAAACTATACATCACTGTTAACACTGTGAGCCACAGCTCCACATCGGATTGGAGATAAGCGTCTCAGAGACTTTTCTGTCCCGATTAGTTTCAAACCGTGATCCTCGGATCTCAACTTCCTGAGTAGCTAGGATTACAGGCGAGAGCCAACAAGCGTCTGGCTATAGTATTTAATTATTAACTGCGGTGAGCTTTTCAGGCAGGCTAAATCCAGTTCACCAACCACCAAAGTGGTTCTCTGAGCCCCCCCTTGCCTGGGTGGAAAGCGATCTTCAAAAGCCATTCTGGTTTCCTTTCTTCCCGCCTTAGTTCAATCAGCACAGTAATGAGCACCTACTGTTTGCAGGCCCCTCACGCTGGGAGCAGATGGAAAGGTTAAAGAGCAAGGAGGTCGGCTGATCAGCTGTACACAGGTGGGCGGGAGGGCGGGCTGTGCCCTCGGGGTCCGTGGCTGGCCGGAGTGCCCTCTGCCCTTGCGCCCCTTCCCCCCCTTCTTTACGCAGAGGGGTCAGGTTACCTGGGCATCCAGGTCCTTACTCAGTTCCTGTCCATCTTTCTGCTTCACACCTGGGGGGAAGAAGTGAAGGGCTCTAGAAGGGTGCATAGGAGTTGGAAGGTGGGGGGGGTCTTCCTCCTCCTCCCCCACTTCCTCCAAAGCCACACCCCCTCGGGATGGAGGGGTGTGTGTGTTGGGGGGGGTCCCCCTGAAGGGCTCACCGTAGACGATGGAGCGTCCCACCCCCGTATGATCGCTTCCAAATTTCTTCATCAAAGCCCCCGCCTTTTGGGGGGACACCTTGCCATGAAACTTCTCCCGCAGGCGCCTGACGCTCTTCTCCAACTGCGGGGGGAGCAGGCGGGGGTGGGGGGGCTGGGGGAGGGAGAGGCCGCCCCGCCCCCGCCCCGACGGCTGGAACTCGACTCTCAGGCTTGCTGGGGTCCCCCTCCCCCCCTCTTCCTACCCCGGCGCGGCATTTCCTGGAAAAAGCCAAAGTCTTCCGGCTGGGCATGGGGGGGGGCGCGGAGTGGGGGGGCGGGCGCGGAGTGGGGGGGCGGGCGCGGAGTGGGGGGGCGCGGAGTGGGGGGGCGGCCCCGGCCTCCGGGGGTGCGGGGGGGGGGGGTCCGAGGAGGGAGGGGGCATCCTGACCACGCGCGGCCCCCGGAGCCCCGCGCCCCGCTCTTCCTGCGGGGAGGGGGCAGGGGTCCCCCGAGGCCGCGGGACGGGGCTGTTTTCCGGAGGGAGGAAGCGGGGTGCGCGCGCGGGGGCGGAGCGCGCCCGGGGCCGGCGCGGGCGCGGGCGCGGGCGGGGGCGCGGGTCCCCCCTCCCGGCCCGAGCTCGGCCTACCTCCACCCCGTCCTGGGCCATGGTGCGGCCCGGGTCCGGCCGCGCCCTCGGAGCGCCGCGCCGCGCAGCTGGGGCGGGCCCGGCCCGGCTCCGCCCGCCCCGCGGCTCCGCCCCGCGCCGCCCGCGGCCCCTTTCGCTTTCGTTTCCTGGGGTGCAGAGAGAGAGAGAGCGAGAGAGAGAGACGGGGAGGGGGAGACGGGCGCCCGGCGCTGCCCGGCCCCGGGGATGCGGGGTCCGCGCCCTGCGGCGGCGGGGCGCGCGCGGCTCGGGCGCCGAGCCGTCACGTGACCCCCGCGTCCCGCGTGGGGGCGGGGCCGCCCGGCGACGCCGCGGCCGGGGCGCGCGACCCCCCCTTCCCCACGCGTGGGAACGGCCCCCGACACTCCGGCGAGGCCCCGCCCCGCGCGGCCCCGCCCCCGCTGCCCGGCTCCGCCCCCGCGCGAGGCCCCGCCCCCGCTGTCCGCCCCCAGGCCTGGCCCCGCGCGAGGCCCCGCCCCCGCTGCCCGGCTCCGCCCCCGCGCGAGGCCCCGCCCCCGCTGCCCGCCCCCCACCCCAGAGAGTGGCCCCGGCCCCGCCCCCGCCTCACCCCCGCTGCCCGCCCCCGCCGGTCCCCCTACACCCCCCCCCAGCGCGGCCCCGCCCCCATCCCATTCAGGCTCTGAGCCCCTCACCAGGACTGCCGCGCCTCAGTTTACCGCCCTGTAAAAAGGGGCTGGCCAGGGTCACGAACTCCCCTCCACCCCGTGGTTGGGATCCTGTGCTCCTTGGTTAATTAAGTTCGTTCTTTTTTCGGGGGTTGGGGGGGGGTCCCGGGGCTGGAACTCAGGGCCCGAGCGCTGTCCCTCTGGAGTGTGTTTTTCCCCCTTCTGAAGGCCTGGCGCTCTACCACTTGAGCCACAGCTCCACTTTTGACTCTTCGCTGCCTAATTGGAAAGAAGGAGTCCGATCTGGGCCGGTTTCAAACCACGATCCTCAGATCTCAGCCTCCTGAGTAGCTGGGAAGACCGACGGACGGACAGACATGAGGCACCCAGCCCAGCTGCCAATCGATTCTTCATGGTTATGGGACCTGCAGCTCAGGCAGACCGGGGTGCTGGCGATGATGGAGAAGAGGCAAATCTCCGAATTCCGGGATCAGCAGATGATGGCCAGCGTGCAGCCTGGGGGTGGCGCACAGCTGGAGATGGCTTCTTGGAGGCAAGGAGGAGGTTTGTGCAGAGGCCGTGGAGTCTGAGGTTTTAGTGGCGGGGTGTGTGTGTGTGTGTGTGTGTGTGTGTGTGTGTGTGTGTGTGTGTGAAGAATAGAGGGTGGAAGGACGCAGGAGAGACTCTGGGGGCTTGGGACAGAGCCCTGCAGCTGGCGCCCTGTGGCTGATGGGTAAGAGGGGGGATGGACTGCACCCCACCCCCCAATGCTGTCCCTTCTCCCAGTCACGACAACCAAAAAAAAATGTCTCCAGACATTGCTAATGCCGTCTGTTGTGGCCAAATCCACTGAGGAAAAAGAATCTAATTTTTTTCCTCCAATGTTGTACCCCTATCAATTAAAAAACAACAACAAAACAAACACCCCAAACCCTAAAGTCCCATTCCCAGATAATTTGAAAGCTATATTCAAAATGATGGTGTCCATATACTATAGATACTCTTATGAAAAAAAAAAAATTGAAAACAGACCCAAGCACAGTGGTGCATGCCTGTAATCCCTGAACTCAGAAGACTGAGACAGCAAGAATACATTACCATATGTACCCAATAATGGAACTGGTCAATCATTATTGGGTTGAATACCCAATAAAAAGGAAATTAATCTGTAGAAGAGACATCGATAAGCCTGTTTATTGCTACACTATTCAAAATTGCCAACAGATGCTCATTCAACTTCAGGCTCCATGAACCGATGAATGGATTAAGAAAATGGAAACCATACACACAGGGGAATACTACTCAGCCAGGAAAAGGCAAAAATCCTCTTGTTTGCAACCAGCTGGATGAGACTGGAGTGGTAACTAAGTCAAGTGAAATAAACCCAGCCCCAGAAGCCAAAAAAACGTAGGGTCTCACTTATTTGTAGAAGTTAAGAATGTTAATCTCCCTAGGTGCTGGTGGCTCATGTTTGTAAGCCTACTTACTCAGGAGGCTGAGATCTGAGGATTGTGGTTCAAAGCCAGCTTGTTTTTTTTCTTTCTTATTTATTTTTGGTTGGTCATGGGGCTTGAACTCAGGGCCTGGGCACTGTCCCTGAGCTCTTTTGCTCGAGTCTAATAGTGCTCTACCACTTTGAGCCACAGTGCCACTTCCTCCATGAAGAAGACTCTTATCTTCAATTATCCAGCCTAAAATAAAAAAATGGAGCTGTGGCTCAGATGGTAGAGTTCTAGTCTTGAGCACAAAAGCTCAGGGATGAACCCAGATCCTGAATTCAAGCCTCAGTACTGGTGTGTGCATGTGTGTAGACACAAAAACACATACATGTGTGCACACATGTACACACACACATACTGAGAAGTTCTGCTCAGTGAAGTAAAGAGTAGTGAAAGGGACAGGAAGTCCTGTAGTATGGTTGGGAAAGTATAAGGTGACTAGTTAAGGCTGTGCTGTGCTATTTTGCCATAGCCAGAGGGGAAGGTTTGAAATTGTGTCTGCACAGAGAAATGATACATGTTTTGAAGAAACGGTGCTTGTTGCAGATGGAGACACTAATGCCTACTTTGATCATGACACAATGTATACTTCTATCAACATATTACAGTGTAACCATATGTCTGTAGGATTTTGTGACATACAAAAAGAGAGCTAAGCTGGGCACTGGTGGCTCATGCCTGTAAATCCTAGCTACTCAGGAGGCTGAGATCTGAGGATCATGGTTCAAAGCCAGCCTGGGCAGGAAGGTCTGTGAGACTCCAATCAACCACCAGAAAACTGGAAGTGGTGTTGTGGCTCAAGTGGCAGAGCGCTAGCCTTGAGCTGAAGAGCTCAGGTACAGCGCCCAGGCCCTGAGTTCAAGCTCCACAACTGACTAAAAAAGAGAGAGAGAGAGCCAGGGGGAGGGAGAGAGAGAACTAAAGTCAAGTACCAAAAAATAAAGCTGGGCACTGGTGGCTCACACTTGTAATCTTAGCTACTCCAGAGGCTGAGATCGGAAGATCACAGTTCAAAGCTAGCCTGATCAATAAGTCACTTATCTCCAATTAACTATTAAAAAGCCAGACGTGGAGTTTGTGACTTAAGTGGTAGAGCTCCAGCCTTGAGCAAAAAAGGTCAGGGACTGCGCCCAAGCTCTGAGTTCAAGTCTTAGCACTGGAAGAAGAAGAAAGCTATTGCTGTGCTAGTAGCTGACGCCTGTAATCCTGGCTACTTAAGTTTGAAAGCAGCCTAAGCAGACAAATCTGTGAGGCTCTTATCTACAGCTATCTAGCAAAAAGCTAGACGTGGCACAAATGGTAGAGCGTTGGTCTTGAGCTCCCAGGCCTTGAGTTCAAGCCCTAGGACTGGCACCCACACAATAAATACATTAAGAATAGCCCATTGCTGGTGGCTCACACCTGCAATCCTAACTACTTGAGAAATAGAGATCTAGGATCAGTGTTGAGGCTAGACTGGACAAAAGAGAAAAAATGTTTGAAAGACTTCACCTCAACCAATGGCTGGGCACAGTGGAGCATGTCTGTCATCCCAGCGAATCTGAGAAGCACAAATCAGAGGATAGAAGTAAAGGTGAATGGGGGGAGGGGAGGTAATCAATGACGAAGAGGTCAGCAGAGGGGACCAAGTAATAGAGCACCTGCTTAGCAATTATGAGTCCCTGCATTCAGACCTCAGCACTATTTATTTTTTTTTGTCGGTTGTGGGGGCTTGAACTCTGGGCCTGGGCACTGTCCCTCAGCTCTTCAGCTCAAGGCGAGCGCTCTACCACTTGAGCCACAGCGCCACTTCCGGTTTTCTGGTGGTTAATTGGAGACCAGAGTCTCCCGAGCTGGCTTTGAACTATGATCCTCAGATCGCAGCCTCCTGAGTAGCTAGGATTATAGGTGAGAGCCACAGGCCCCTGGCTGAATAATAACTTTTAAGCTTGGCATAAGGGCACATAGCTAGAATGCCAGTATGTAGGAGGCTGAGGCAGGACGATCATGGCTTGATACACTGCCAGATGTTGCCTTCACAACATCTGCCCTTATAATCAATAATAAATAGAAATACAACAGGGCCGAGCCCGTGGCTCAGTGGTAACATGCTCGCCTAGCATGCAAGAGTCCCTGGCTTGAATCTCCCAATACTGGGGGAGAAAAATAAAAAAAAAATTACAACTAAAAGGATCAATGATATATAATGCCAAAATGTCAGTGTAATATGTAATATGTAAATTTCTATCTTTATTATATATCATTTTGTTTGGTCTTGGAGCTTGAATTCTGTTCAGCTCAAGGCGAGCACTCTTCCGCTTGAGCCACAGCGCCACTCCGGTTTTCTGGTGTTTCATTGGAGATCAGAGACTCACGACTTTCCTGCCTGGGCTGGTTTTGAACCCTGATCCTCAGATCTCAGCCTCCTGAGTAGCTAGGATGACAGGCGTGAGCCACCAGCACCCAGCTTCACCTATTTTTATAAGGAGCTGTGGAATGGAGTAAATGCAGTCACCAGTAAGAAAGGCAGCCGATAACACTTCAGTATGACCGAGTTACAGATGGAATCGATTCGATCCATCTTTTCGTTATTTTGTGTGATGAGTAAATAAGCAACAGAAAAGGGGCTGAAGGCCGTGGCTCAGGTAGTAGTGCACCTGCCCGGCAAATACAAGGTCCTGAGATCAGTTCCTAGTACTGCAGAAGAAACAAACAAACAAATACAAGACAGAAAGAAAGGTAAACTAGACTAAAAGATGTTTAGGTCAGTGGTAAAGTACTTGTTTAGCATGAGGACCTGGTTTCCCTCCTCAGCACTGCAACGTGTATGTGTATAGATTGCATAGAACGTATATTATTAAGGTTGATAACATGCATACATGTATTCATATACACATTCATGTCTATGAAACACAGACTGGCGTGTGCATGAGAGCCTAGCGGTGTTAGTA